CTAGCTCGTTAGTCGACATATCGGTCGGCACGCTTACCGCACTCGCCATATTCGTCGTATTCGTCGCGTTTGCCATTAGGCCTGTCGTTTCGTCACTTCGACACGCGCACGTTTCTCCTTGTAGCACGTAGCCGCACCTCACTACATCTGCCACCTCACAGAATATAGTTTTACCGTGTCGTCACTCAGACAACGTCCCGCCTTATATACTCGGTTTGCCGCGTTGTCTCTCGTGTGTCACCCGGTTATTTTCTTGTATCCGAAAATTCCGTCCGCGATACTATTATTTCCTTCGCAATTCCGACTCGCGATCCCGGACGAGCCCCCAATTTGTAGGATCGCGAAACTAGAATACGGAATTAACTGGCGGACAAAACTTTATTCGTAATCGAATTACACACGAAAAAAAGATCGCGACCGTTTTTTTGCTCTTCTTCCTCTTCTTCTTTTTTTTTAAGATGCTCTCTTTTTCGCTATCCCCTCTACTCCTCTCTCGACTCTCTCAGTGTCGCCAACTGTGGGAGATCCCTCGTTCCCACATAATTATAGTGTTTTGGAAAGCTCTCGAGATAAGCTACAAGAATATGCAATGAAAAATAGGGGTTCCCATTTAAGATTTCAAACTTGCCCCCCCTCACCGCCCAGGGGGAGGGATAGGGGGGGCTGATTTTAACGTCATTGTACGTCCCCCTCGAAATGACGAAATTTTGATTCTAACCATTTTTTCGTAGTGTGCTTATTTTTCGAGTTATTTGGCTGCCTAAGTTAAAATGGGTCACCCTGTATATACAATAATAATTATTTAAGAACATATTTACTATAATGCAAATAGAGTTCAACATTCTTAATCTAATTTAAATATTTGCAAGAAAAATTGCTAATAAAAAAAGTTTGTATAAAGAAATGATTATACATTTTCTGGATTATTATTGTTTGTGCAAGATAATTAGTATAATATGTAAAACTTTAAAAATAACTCGATCCTTTGAAAACTAAAGAATTATATATAGGAAATATTTATAAACATACATTGTTTGTTTTATTGATAAAAATTCACTGAATATACAATATTTAACATATTTTGAATATTTTTTTAAAAATATTTTTTGAATATAACCTATATACAATTCTTATTAATGTTTTTCAATAAACTAAACTATTTAAAAAAATATATATGTATTACATATATAAGTTATCTTGTATTAATATTCTAAAATTCTTGTATTAATATTCTTAATATTCTAAAAAATTAAATTCTAAATTCTAAAAAATGTATAGGCACTTCTTTATACAAGCTTCTTTATAAACAAACTCTTCTTACAATATTTAAATTAAATTAATAAATTTAAATCTATCCACATTAGTACATTATTATGGTATATATGAGATAAAGTTTAATACATGCATTTTTATAAATAACATATTGTAATGATTTAAGAATATATGTACTAACTTAAATAGAATTCAACATTACGTATTAATCAAATTTAAATATTACAGGAAGAGTTTACTTATACAAAAGCTTAATAAAGGAATAGCTATATATTTCCTAGATAACAAGCTTGTTGTACAAGCTTCTTTATAAGCAAACTCTTCCAGCAATATTGAAATTAGATTAATAATAATGAATGCTATTCGCAATAGTACATATACTCTTAAATCATTACTATGCATAGTATATAAGACTTCCTAGATAACAAGCTTGTTGTAAAAGCTTCTTTATAAGCAAACTCTTCCAGCAATATTGAAATTAGATTAGTAATAATGAATGCTATTCGCATTAGTACATATACTCTTAAATCATTACTATGCATAGTATATAAGATTTCCTAGATAACAAGCTTGTTGTACAAGCTTCTTTATAAGCAAACTCTTCCAGCAATATTGAAATTATAATTTATAATTTCTTATCATTCATATATTATCTTGCTATATGTATTAATGTTTTATTAAGAGCACATACAATAATGCAGAGAGGATTTAAAATTATTAGTGTAATTTCACTACAAACAAAAATAATTATAATTATAATTATTATATTATTTTACATATTAACATATATGTGTACATATGTATATGTCATGTATATATATTATATATATGTATATATATGAACATTGCGCGACAACGATTCGTTCCGTGGCCCCTTTCTCGCGGGACAAGAGGAGCGTAGAAGTGACCAATCAGCTGGCAGCGTGGCAGTGACTGATTGGTTAGAGGCTACGCTTCCCTTGCCCCGCGAGAGGGACCACGGAACGAATCGTTGTCGCGGAGTGTACATACATATAATTACAATATAGTTTATATATTTTATACATATTGTAAATATAATTGTAAATATAAATATATACAAGTAATATGACCTTTTTGCGATCAGTTTTTCATACTTTCTTTTAAAAAAGAGCATTATTTATGCACATATTTACATACCTTCTTTATTCGACTTTTTTTTCTCTCTTTCTCCTTCTTCTATCCTCTTCGAGATTCTTTTTACTTCTTTCTTAACGCACTACTATTATGTAACACGAAAGAGCAGAGTAAAGGCCGCAGCACACACTTTTGCATAAGCGCATAACCATAAGCATAAGGAAATTGATTGGTCCCCAAGTATATGCATAAGAAAATGAACCAATCAATTTTCTTATGCTTATGGTTATGCGCTTATGCAAAAGTGTGTGCTGCGGCCTTAACAAATAGGTTATGGATGACGCAGCGCTCGAGCGCTATGCTACTTCCCGCGAATATATCGGAATGCACCAGCATCCAATTGCAGAAAAGGAGGCTTCAACATTTCGATATATTCGAGTTATCGACTTAACATGCACTTTTTAAGATAGGAGGATACGTAATACAGTATAAGTATATACAGTAGTGTCACTTCGGTGTCGGCACCTTTGATCGGTGCTTATGCCAAGTCACATGACCCATCGCCATATTAAAAATTGTAACTAAAGCCTATCGCACACGAAATTGCATAGCTGCATGTGCATAACATAAGACCATATGGACCAATGAGCATCGAGTATTAAGTCGCCATATTGATTTACATAACATAGCATAAGCATAAGCATAACATGTGCATAAGAAATGAAAAAATCCATAAGAACGAAATTTTTATGCATATGGTCTATGTACAGCCAATCAAATGTCAGACATGAATTCCCGCCAGGATGACAACCTAGTTCCACCGTTATAGAAGTCTGTGGTATTTATGTTCACGCTAGACTGCATTAAAGAAAATAAATAAAAATTCATAAAGCTAAAATATGGAAGATCATAATAATTATTATTTGAAAAGAAGTGAAAATGAAGAAAATATGTGTGAGAACAGAATAATTAATACAATGACTTCGAGAGAGGAAGATTCGTTATTAGTGGATCTTGTTAAAGGTTATCCGCATCTTTATAATAAGGAATCAAGAGATTTTAAAGATATTATTAAAAAAAATAACTCATGGAAAGAAATAGGTCGCAGTATATCCAATAATTTATTAAAAGTCAAGAGATTCATTCTTGTGTATTTAAAAAACATTGTCGCATCTTCTTTCAATTCTTGAAAAAGATGTTGAAAATCACCAAATAGTGGTCGACGTACATATATTGGTCGTATCCATAGTCGTTTTTTTACTTTTTTACGCTTTTGTAAAAGAACATAACTTGCTGATATTATCGCAGTGAAAATCAAATCATCCGTGTCCATTTTGACAAATTTGCTGAACGTATCGCGAGTTTTTGTAAATAATAGGTTAGAGACACGCATTTTCAATTGTTCCTCAATTCTGATTGGCCAAACTTATGTCTATGCACATTTGTGTAGATTGCGTTCTTTCTTTATGCTTTATGCTATGTTATGTCTATGTTCTATGCATTTTGTGTGCGATAGGCTTAAGGGCCTATCCAGACAAACTTGCATAGGTGCATATGCATAACATAAGACCATATGGACTGATGAGCATCGAGTATTATGTTATGTAAGTCAATATAGCGATTTAATACTCGATGCTCATTGGTCCATATGGTCTTATGTTATGCATATGCACCGGGTGGTACCCGATTGACCACGTCGCTAATTGGCCAATTCAAAATAGGACTCTCTGATTGGTTAATCGTTGCTGGTTACCTTAGGCACAGGTCGATATAATTGGCTGTGATCAATCGCAACGTGGTCAAACGGGACGCTTCCATACGCACCTATGCAAGTTTGTCTGGATAGGCCCTTAGCGCCGTAAATTAGAATTCTTTCTTATAAAATGCAAAGTTATTGTATAAGTGAATAAACAGAATGCAATTGTTAATCGCATTAAAATTTGTTTAGAACGAGATTATAGCTTTTTAAGTAATGTTAATACATATATTGAAGAGGTTAAATAAATCGCATAAGCACAAGATGCATATTATACACATTTAAATATCAATTACCTTCAGACATTTTTATTTTTTCTGTGATTGACACAAAATTTAAATTTTATCTTTATTACTTAATATTTGAATATCACAGCATAACATGTACAGATAGCATGTGACACATACGTAGCCATATTGAAAATTGTACAATTGACGCATGCGCACTCAAAATTACGGTCTTTAGAGGACAAAGAAGTGCCCCTACTGTATGTACACTCCGCGACAACGATTCGTTCCGAGGCTCCTCTCTCGCGGGGCAAGGGGAGCGTAGAAGTGACCAATCAGCTGGCAGCGTGGCAGTGGCTGATTGGTTAGAGGCTACACTCCCCTTGCCCCGCGAAAGGGACCACGGAACGAATCGTTGTCGCGCAGTGTACATACATAACGTGAACTATATATTTTCAGCACGGGCAGTGAATTTTGGAACACGCCCGATGTCCGCATTCAGCGGACTCAACCGCTAAGTAGCAAACAAATATGACTGGTTTCTACTTTCAGGTCCGACCAATTAGCGTCGAATTACATCGGAAAATCTAGTAATGTTGCTGAACTGTTGAGTCCGCTGAATGCGGCCAATGTAAATTCTACATGAGGCTTGAATCGCCATTTCTATATCCATAGCAACGCTGCCGGATGTTGGTATGTTCATTTGTATACACTTAGGCCCGGCGTTTCCTGTTAAGAGATACGCCATATTATCATTAGTCGACGATACGGAGTATCTGTTGGAGCTTTCCATTATTTCTTCGATTAAGAGACCTCTGAGGAAGATTAATAATGAGCGACATCGAGGTGAGTCTAATCTTTGTGAGCCTCGCATGACAACGAGATTTGTGATGGGTGAATTTTGATAATACCTCACGGGCAGCCTTCAAAATAGCCATTGTATCGATCCAACAACGCGGTTTTATAGTCATTATCAATTCAACATAAACAATACTCGATACCCTTTTATACTTCTTTTATACCCTCGATACTTTTTTGCTTTTCCATCCTAAAACATATTTTGGCAGTAAATATAACTCTAATAATGACGTTGAATTCATAGTGCTTTATGATGATAATTATAGTAGTCTTTTAATAAAAATGTAAGGTTATAGATATATTGAAATTGAATCGTTTTTCCAAGCAATTGATCATTTAGTTTATATTGCTCTAATATTTAGAATTATATGTACAAAACGATGTGTTAACTCTTATTCTTGGTATAAAAAAATATTCCGACATGATAATTCTAAAGTTCAAGCTAAATTTGTATAATACTTGTAATATATGTATTGTAATGAAAATAAAAAGTAAATGCACACACACACATACACATACATATACATATTTTTTTCACAAAGAATCAATCTGTACGAATGTTTTCATATTATCTTATAATGTAGAATATTAATAAATTCTGCTACGATATATATATTTATATCGATTAAAATGGGATACTCTGTATATATAGATATATATATTTAAATTCCATTTGATTAATTTTTATTTCAATTAAAGTTAGCTATATATATAACTAACAAATGAAATCTATATATATAGATTAAATTTCATTTGATAGCTATATATATATAGCTATCAAATGAAATTTAAATGTATATATTTATATATACAGAGTATCCCATTTTAATCGATCACCTCGAATAACTTTTTTATTTTTGATTGCAGAAAAAAAACGTTTCAAACAAAAGTTGTTTGGATCGAAGGGGGACATAAGATGGATATAAGATATCATTGGTTTGACCTTGAGTGAATATGCCAAGGTCATATGTTTAATTTTGTTTTTTTAAATGAAATTCCCTATTTTTCATTGCATATTCTTGTAGCTGTCTTTAAGAAAAAATATGTAATTTGCAATTAACAACTACATTTTTTTCTTAAAAATAACTAAGTGTTTTTTTACATCAATTAATTCCTCACATTATTTTGTGCATAAAAGTATTGATATAAGATAATCGAAAAATAAATATTCTAGATATTTTACGTTTATATAAAATTAAGAAATAATTATTTCAAGTCTCATAACTCAAAAAGTACTTAATAAAAAAACATTTAATTATAGTGTTTTGGAAAGCTCTCGAGATAAACTATAAGAATATGTATTGAAAAATAAGGAGTTCCATTTGAGAAATTAAAGGTAACTTTCGCGTGATCTTCAAAAGACTATCCAAGGTCAAATAATTGTCACCATCTTATGTCCCTCTTGAAACCATACAACTTTTGTCTGAAATGTTTTTTTTTTACAATGAAAAATAAAAAAGTTATTTGGAGCAATCGATTAAAATGGGACACCCTGTGTGCGTGTGTGTGTACAGGGTCACTTAATTGGCACCCACTATTTTTATATCGATATTCCTCGTGGAAACCTGAGTCGAAAAGTCCTGAACCATCTTTTTCTATAATGTTTAATAAAACGGTAACTATTGAATAAAGTTACGCCAATAAGAACCGGCTTTTAGCCTCCTTGACGAAATTTTCTTTAAGGAAACGCTTTTAACGAAAGAAATAATTTTCAAAGGAAAATAAAGTTTTTCGCATTATAAAAGAAAAAATGGTTTCAAATTTTTGTCATTAAAAAAAGAAATGGTTCAGGACTTTTCGACTCAGTTTTCCACGAAGAATATAATATAAATAGTGGGCGCCAATTAAGTGACACCCTGTATATACACACACACACACACACACACACACACACATTTATAAATTCAATTTGATTAACTTTTATTTCAATTAAAGTTATCATTTATTTCAAAATATTAATATGATTATTGAAAAATTATTCAAAATATTAATGTGGTTATTGAAAAATTTAACTTTTTTTTTACATTTAATATCTTTGTTTTATTTACCGTTATATGAATAGCTTAGATATCGTGATACAAGTCCATCCAAACTTAATGTTGAGTTATTAGCAGATTTGAGATACAGACAATGTGATTTATTACTAATCATTATAACTGAATTTGTCTATTTTCGATGTCAATCAGATTGCATAGTTAAATTATTTTTATCTGTATTTAAGGTAAAAGCAAATGTAAAAGTCTATTTTTGAAATTTGTACCATTTAATATCAGACCAATTTATATAAAGAAAAATATATATATCTTAATAATTATATAAATTATATATATATAATAATATAAAATGTGTATACACACAGAAAATATAATAATAACAATGTATATACAATAATAGTTAGAAGTAATGACACTAAATGAGTTACAAATTATGATAATTACATATTTCTGTAAAATTTTATACATATTTTGAACAGCGATTACTTTTAAACAGCTAATTTTTTCCTTAAAATGTAATTCCTGAAAATTTAAAAAGTAAAAAATTTTACCATTATAATTACAATGGTGAAATTCTTTGTTTCCACCATAGGGAGAAAGTTATATGATTGTTCTGCATTTAATATTTAATGTTGCATATACAGGACGAGTTATTAGAATCTTTATAAATATTGATACATTTTGGTCGTTTTCTTTAGGTGAAAATGTCAAAAGGTTCGAATTTCTTCAATTCTTTAAATGGAAAGGCTATTTTTAATCAGTTATAATTGTAGAGACTAAAGAGAATTCAACGATCTAATCTTAATCACAGAATAATTTTGAAAAGAATCTAGAAAAACAAAATGAGTAATAAGTAAATAATAGAAGTAATAATTTTTCGAACAAAATAAATTTTATTTAATAAGATGTTCAAAGTATTGTCTATTCATTTCATGACACTTTTGACTCTATGAAAGATGCGTAAATTTCTTGCAACATATTCTTTGGAATTATTCAATAAGTATTGCTTCGTGTCTTTTGGATTGATAAACATAATGTTGAAAGATACAAAAGAACAGAATCTGTCAGGGATTTTATTGGAATAATAGTAAACAAATAGTATGTCAAGATGTACCAATAACCTCTTGAAGATATTGAATAATTGAATCAGTATTGAATTCCAAAAGCTAGCATCATATTAAATAAAATTCATTTTGTTCAAAAAATTCTTATTTTTATTACCTATTATTTATCTTATTTTTCTGGATTTTTCATTTCAAGGTCACCTCACATGGTTAAGATATTACAAATCGTAGAATTTCTTTTTCATTCTCAACAATTATAGTTGAAAAACAAGTTTTTCTGTAAAAAATTTTAAATATTAATCTCCAAAATTTTTTTTCCACATAAAAAAAACTAAGACAATCAAAGTGTAGGCCTTTCAAAATTATTTGCCTTTTGTTTTAAACTATTTTTGTATATACTCAACATTTATGAACATAATAATAAAATAGATAACACAATAATCAGTGTTTCCTGTAGATAATTTCAAAATTATCTAGATAAAGATAAAGATAAAAATCCATAAATTTATCTTAAATGAGATCAAGATGATTTTGCTTTTACTTAATCTAGATGAAAGATAAGATGATTATTGCGATAATCTAGATAATTATCTAGATATTTTTGTTTATTTTATAAGACTATAAATATTTGTAAAAAATGTGACACAGATTATAAATGGGATATTAAAATCATAAACACATATTCTTCCTCTTTTCCTAAAGAATATTTAAATAATAACAAAAAGGTATATATAAATGATATGATAAATATTTATTTATTAATTTATATTTATAATATATTTATAATATATTAATAATATAATAATCAATGTGTAACAATACATATATCATTTTTATAAAATATACATTAATGCATTGCACAAATTTAAGTAAAACAAGTACAAGATAAAGTATATTTGTAATATTATTTTTCAAATAAAAAATATATTTTAGATATTTTAGATAGATTTTTAGAAGCTTGCCTGGAAAACTCTTTTGCATAATGAAAACGTCATCTTAGACAATTTTTAGATAAGATGACATATATTTTTTATCTGAGATAAAGATAAAGGTACTTTGTATTTCTTCATCTAGTTAAAGATAAAGATGATCCATTTCTTTATCTAGATAATTATCTAGATAAAATTATCTAGATACTAGCAAAAACTGACAATAATATAATTATTTTTAATTTACAGAGAAGTGGCAGTCGCAGCGCGAGCCCACGAAGGCCACGAACTGCAGATGGCGGTCTAAGGGATTCGCGATCGCATTCACGATCGCGTAAATCACGCGAACGGAAAGAGGCGCATAGAGAGGTCAAGTATTCGAGATCGCGAAGCCGTTCCGTATCGCGTGGCCGGAAGTCATATCGCGGTAGCAAGTACACGAATGTCGGACATCGAGGCAGTAGCCGTAGTAGGAGTCGCTCGCCATATCGTAGTGGCCGTTATTCCCGTAGCAGATCACGTTCATATTCTCGATCGCGATACTCTCGCGACCGACATGTATATCGATCTCATTCGCGCAGTCCAATGTCGTCTAGGCGACGACACGTTGGCAATCGCGACAATCCATGTCCATCCCGATGTTTAGGTGTATTTGGACTATCGATTTTTACAACTGAACAACAAATTCATCACATATTCTCTAAATATGGTCCCGTTGAACGAGTACAGGTTGTTATTGATGCAAAGGTACGTAAAATTATTGATGAAAATACATAATAACTGAATCAAATTCATCTATAGTGTACATGAATTTTTGCTTAGAATGAACTCTACATTTTAGAAGTTTGCCGATTTTCTAATGAAACACCCAACATAATGTAAATAATACAATCTTTGTAAGTTATATATGTATATACAGGATGGACAAAAAAAATGTTCAAGCTGTTATTCCTGAGAGTATGCATTAAAGTAGAAAATGTTCTAAATAAAAGTTGTTTGGCTCTGAGGAGAGAAAAAGATGGGAATATTAATTCGACCTTGGAGTGTAGGTGTCAAGATGAAGTTCTATCTTGTTTTTTTAAGTGAAATTACTCTAATTTGTCTGAAAGTAATCAATTGATGTGAAGAAAACATATAATTGTTTTGAAGAAAAGATATGAATTTGTAACGAGCAGCTACATTTTTTTCTTAAAAACATTTTTTTTACATGATTTGATTCCTTTCATTATTCTTTTTCTTAAAAATATTTTTTTTACATGATTTGATTCCTTTCATTATTCTATGCATAAAAATATTGAGATAAAATAATCGAAAAATAAATATTTTACGAAATATTTTATGATTTATGTAAAAAATTTTGTCAACATAAAATATAAAATATCTCTTATAAACTATTTATTTTTTGGCTATTTAATTTTAGCCTTACAATTTTTTATAGTGAAACATTATGAAGAATCGATTTATATAAACAAATTAAGTTCCATTTAAAAAAACTAGATTAATCTTCAAGCGATTTTGATACCCAAAGTCCAATTAATATTATCATTCTTTTTTCCCATCTTAGAATCAAATAACTTTTATGTAAAAACTTTCTTTACTACTACTGTAATGCATGTTTCCAAAGACAATAGTTTGTAATGCTTTATTTTGTCCATCTTGTGTATGTATATGTGTATTATACATATAGTATATATATATATATATATATATATATATATATATATATATACAGGGTCTACCAAAAGTGTGGAAACCCCTAAATATCTCGGAAAATATACGTTTTACAGAAAAGTGTTTCCAACAAAAGTTGTAGGGTTTAAGAAGATCTATATACTGATTCTATCAGTTTGACCTTGGATGGCGTCGTCAAGGTCAGGTCAAGGTCACATTGACTTTTTTAAATGACACCCCTACATTTGATTGCATATTCTTATAGCTTAATTCAAGAGCTTTCCAAAACACTATAATAATGTTCATTTTTATTAAGTACTTTGCGAGTTATGAGGGTTGAATGATAGAGTAGCGCCGGTATTAACATTATCCAAGGTGTACTACATGGAGGTTACTCGCTCGGATTTGCATCTGTTGTGTGTGTGATCCAGCTAACTAAGGCAAGATCGGTCGTGGATCCAGTCAGCAAAAGCAAAGACCCAACCAAATTACAATCGAGCATTTAAAGACCTGGAAAGCAATCGACATAGTAAACAGTAAATAAATTTGTGGATGCTCATTTATCATAATAATTGTTCGAAATGTGTGCGTGTGCGTGCGTGCGGTGCGTGTATACAGAGATCAGGTTAGGTTGCACCAAACGATTGCAAATGTGTTTCAATGTGTTAAAGTAAATGCTGAAAGTGGCTGCCATTTACTTCCTGACAATATGCTAATCTTTGGTAGAATGTAGAAATGACTTTACGATTCGTTTCAAAAGGTATCAAAGCCATTTCATCCCTTATTCGCTGTATCAATTCGTGAATGGTTTTAGGTTTTGTTCTGTAAACCTTACTCTTCAGATATCCCCATAGATAATAATCAAGAGGAGTTAGATCTGGTGACCGAGGTGGCCAATCCTCTCCTCCCTCATTTCCGTTCCTTCTTCCAATCCACCGTAGCGGAAAAGTCTCATTTAAAATACGACGTGGTCCTGCACCAAAATGAGCAGGAGCTCCATCATGCTGAAACCATATTTCTTGGAAATTATTTGGAAAAGTATTCTGTATGGCTGGAATTATTTGATCAACAAGTAATCTCTCATACCTTTGAGCGTTCAAATATTCTTCAAAAAAAAACGGCCCTATTAAATAGCCATCTATTATTCCGCACCATACATTTATTTTTTGTGGATGTTGTGTGTGAGTTTCCCGCACCCAATTCGGATTCTCATCTGACCAGAAACGAAAATTTTGATTATTAACTTCTCCTGTTAAGGTAAAAGTTGCCTCGTCTGTGAAAACAATTTGATAAGGGAAGATGGGCCGGACATCTATTAGTGCCATCATTCTTTCACAGAAATGTATACGACGCTCCTCATCTCCGTTTTGCAATTCTTGAACGTATTGCAATTTATATGGATGGAACTTGTTCTTCTTTAAAATTCTCCAAACCGACATGGGAGCAATATCGTGAGTTTGAGCGACTCTCTGAACACTAGAATTGGGATCTTCAATAAATGTCTGCAGAACATCAAGTTGTTTTTCTTCGTTGGTTGCAGACAATGGTCTTCCTGACTTAGAGCGATTTCTTACGCTACCAGTTTGTCTAAAACGTTTTATTGTTTTTAACACAGTGGACTTATTAATTCGACGGTTCGGATACGTGTCATTAAATAATCGAACGACATCAGAGAACGATCTTTCGTTATCACCCCATCCACGCATCATGAGGATAGTGATTCTTTCACGTTCCGACAAGTCGCCAGCCATTTTTAAAACGTTTAATTTTAATTAATCGTACGTTGTATTTGGACGATAACAATTAATTTCTGCTTGCTCAAAGCTGAAGTTAGAAGGTGCTCGTTCTTTGATAGCTTTATACATTCTTAGTTGAATTTTAAATGCGAGTTAGACTGCATGTAGTGCGTCACATAGCGGTAAATGAAGGAACTAACGAGACGTTTCATACACGTTTTATGGAGCAATTTTTTGGCAATTTGACTTCAGCGAAATATGAGGATATGTTGAGGAATCGATCTTGCCTTAGTTAGCTGGATCACACACACAACAGATGCAAATCCGAGCGAGTAACCTCCATGTAGTACACCTTGGATAATGTTAATACCGGCGCTACTCTATCATTCAACCCTCATAACTCGCAAAGTACTTAATAAAAATGAACATTATTATAGTGTTTTGAAAAGCTCTTGAATTAAGCTATAAGAATATGCAATCAAATGTAGGGGGTGTCATTTAAAAAAGTCAATGTGACCTTGACCTGACCTTGACGACGCCATCCAAGGTCAAACTGATAGAATCAGTATATAGATCTTCTTAAACCCTACAACTTTTGTTGGAAACACTTTTCTGTAAAACGTATATTTTCCGAGATATTTAGGGGTTTCCACACTTTTGGTAGACCCTGTATATAGTATACGTGGTGTGTGCGCGCGCGCATACGCGCACACACACACACACAACATTTACAATAGTTACTCCAAGGTATTTATATTGGGGAATATAAAATAATACCAAAAGTTTAGAACATTTATATATTTAAAATACATATGAACCATTGCCTCTTGTCACATTGTATATATAAATTATAAATTAATATAACTTAATAATACATTGTAGAATTAATGGTGATAATAATATGTTACAATAATATAAGTCATTTTTATTACATAGACTGGAAGATCTCGAGGATTTTGTTTTGTATATTTTGAATCATCGGAGGATGCCAAAGTAGCTAAAGAGCAATGTACTGGCATGGATATTGATGGAAGAAGAATAAGAGTAGATTTCTCTATTACACAGCGTGCTCACACACCCACTCCTGGAATATACATGGGAAAACCTACGCATTTGCATGATAGAGGATGGGACGGACCCAGACGTAGAGAGTAAGTGTGACTCTCAATAGTATTCCAACTCGCAATTTAATAAGATGATTGTGTGTGGTTTTGTATATAATATTTGTTTTTTTTTCTTCCAAACTAGGATTAGTTATAGAGGAAGTTACCGTCGTTCTCCTAGCCCGTACTACAGCCGCCGACGTTCTCGCTACGATCGTTCCAGATCACGTTCTTATTCACCACGTAAGTATAACTTCTATTTTAATTTGTATTGTAATGTAAGCAGTCTGCAGTCATATGTTTCATCATTATATTGAAATATTGTGTATATATATATATATATATATATATATATATATATATATATTAAAATATACGCGATTACATATTTTAGAAGAGAGGGAGAGAATGTAGATATGTTTTTTTATCGAAAACTAAATACTTACACAATTACAAACGTTTTTAGTTAATTTTTTATGCTTTATTTTATTATTTTATTATATAGCTTTTTTTATTGACGAAAATTTTATAAAAAAAATTTCATAATCATATCTTATAATTTCTAAAGAAGAATATGACTTATTATAGTCATATTTGTGTTATGGTCCGACAATTATTTGCTATGTTATACATACATATATATATATATATAATGCATATTAATATATTGATTACTTCTTTGAAAATAATTTTGAAGATATAAAAACATTGATTTATATAATATAATTGAAATGTTTTTCATACTCAAGACACAAAAAAAAATTGATTGAAACTAATAGTCAAATATAATTAACTCAAATATATATGACATTATTACAAATCTCAAAAGAGAAGATATTGATGAATAATTGTTTTACTATATTTCATTAATAAGCGTTTTAATTTGAAAAATTGTCAGATATTTATGCTGCAATATTTCTTTTAGATTCATATTTTTGTAGACTGCTTATATGTCTTATTGAACCGATAAACGATTAATTAGATTGCAAAGTAAGTACTTAAATTAGCGAGAAATGGCAGACGGATGCGTCAGAGAAATGCATTCAATAAATCGTACGGTAGTAATTAAGCAGCAATCCGTAACTTGCGTAACAAAAATCATGGTTTTTTTGTTCCTTAATGAATTTCAGGTCGGTATTAAGTGACACGAGTGTGATGCGAGAGGCCAGGTGTTTTGGAGAGAGCCCTTGACTTTGACCCAAATATTTCTCTCTTCTAACAACGGGTCAAAAAAGAAATTATATTAAAAAAATATGTCACAATATTACTATTCTTACCTTACCAAAATTCTGCATCATATGCGATTCAATTGTGCAGCATTTAAGTTGCAATATTATATAACATCGATTAACAATATTTCAATGCATAAAATGTAGCATATTGCATGAAATCAGTAAGGTTGGAATAGAAGTAAAAACCTTATTTTCATAAGTTTATATTTCTTCCTACTAGTATTATGAAGATAAGGTTTAAATTATGTAAAAAAGTGTTATAATGTGAAAGCTGGAATATGATTGAGAGCTCGGTGTTTTCTCGATTGTTAGCTTATAATTATATCGATTGTATTCCAGCCATTGGGCTGAATCTGATAAAAATATGGAGTTATTCTCTCCAAAAAACAAAAAAAAGCAAGAAAACGAAACAAAAAGATGCAAAAAAGAATAATAATGAACCTCGAGTAAAAATAAGTTCTCTAACTTGTTTGTTTGTTTATAAGGTTTTGAATCAAGAGGTATTGGATGATAGAGGGAAGTTTGAAGTTTCTCTCACTCTGAAAAAATGAGTTTTGAAAAGTTGAAGACAAGATATCCGAAGACACGTTTATCTTGCTCATTATCAAGAATCCGAAGGTTTTCTCGGTTGCTTGTGACAAAGAATATGATCTGCAATTCATTTCCGGCTGAGAAGTCTCAAGCTTAGAAGAGAACTTCAAGCGCTCAGTAATGCAAGTCCGAAGACAGTTGATCGTCAGGCCCCCCGACCGAGACAGACGAATCGTTTGGTTGGGGGTGAAACAGGGCCGATGTGTTTCCGAAAATATTCAAGAAGCATCGAAATCTTTTATAATAGGAACGAGCGTAAGGTGCTCCCAGACCTTTATACCGATCATATTCTTTATCAGTTGGTTTGGTTGCTACGTGTCATATTATTCGCTTTAGAGAAATGCAGATTATATATAAATATATATATATATATATATATATATATATATAAAATATTTATAATATATATATGTATGTATGTATGTATGTATGTATGTATGTATGTATGTATGTATGTATGTGCATATATATATATATATATATATATATATATATATATATATATATACACACACATTATATATATATATATATATATATATATATATATATACATACATACATACATACACACATACACATATATATGAAAATAAAATAAAAGTTGTATATCTTTCCTTTATCATCTTCTCCCTCCACCATCCTAAGACCTCTCCAAGAAAACATTGTTCTGTTATGAATTTTATCTATCCAACAGTGATCAGAATTTATCATAACATTTCATCAATAAATGTTTTTCTATCATGACCGACTAATCCCTTTACTTTTTACATTATACGACGTTTCTGCCTAATATAGACAACTTTTTATATTTGTGCTAAAAAGAATTCTAGTTCTAGATTAATCTATTTCAATAATTCTCCATTAATATTGCCTTTACAAATTTATAGATCTTAATCCTGTAGAAGTATGATATGTATATAATAGAGAAGTCCGTCTATCTCGTCCTGATTTGAAATATAATGCCAATAAAACCAGCTTCCAATAAGAAAAATTACTTCACGAATTTATAAATTCCAATTTGCCACAAATCATATCATAAAATTTTTAATTTTAAACGAAAAAATTTAACGAAATTGGATTAAAGTTTTTTATTTGCCGAGCTATGATCTATATCATTCTAAATATTGAATTGCGATCCACGAATCCTTTTTATTTATGTCAAATGCCCACTTAGAATCATAAATATTAATTTCTCGTATATTTTAAATTGAAAGAAAAAAATAAGTAATTCACAATTATTTCTAATCTTATTGTTTAAAAGTTTAAATCATGATTGTGCTATAGATTTGAAAATTATGTTCATATGAATTATTTACGTGTATAGTTTATATATTTACACACAGACATTTTCATATAAATTATTATAAATTAAATATCAAAAGCAGAAAAACAAGAATAATATCATGAATATATATAAATATAATATTTATTTTCTCTTTTTATCAGTATAAAATTTATTCAATCTTTTATTAAATTTTTCGTGACATAAACATTGTTATATGTTAAATCATATGCAACACGCGCATATATATTTTTTCTCACACGCATATATATATATATATATATATATATATATATATTATATATATATATATATAATATATATACACACACACGCACACACACGCACACACACACAGGGTGGCCCCGAACGTTCCAGCCAGATATATGTCTCAAAAGTCCCGGACCGGTCGAATATTTCATAAACTATGCACTTTAGAAAGAAATATTTCAGACAAAAGTTGTATGGGGCTTGAAGGGGACCATCAGATAGTGGCAAGTGATTTGACATGGGAGAGTCATTTGAAAGTCACGTGAAGATCACCGTCAATTTCTTAAATGGAACTCCCTATTTTTTATTATATATTCGTGTAGCTTATCTTGAGAGCTTTCCAAAATAATATAATAAAGTATTTATTCATTGAGTACTTTTCGAATTATGAGGCTTGAAATCATTTCTTAATTTTACATAAACCATAAAATATCTTGTAAAATATTTATGTTTCGATTATCTTACCTTAATACTTTTATATACAAAATAATGAGAGGAATCAATTAGTGTAAAGAAAACACAGTTATTTTTAAGAAAAAATATGTAATTTTTAATTAACAATTAACAATCGAAAAATGAATATTTTACTAGATATTTTATGGTTTATTAGCAAAATTAAGAAATGATTTCAAGCCTCATAACTCGAAAAGTACTCAATGAAGAAATACTTTATTATAGTATTTTGGAAAGCTCTCAAGCTAAGCTACACGAATATGTAATAAAAAATAGGGAGTTCCATTTAAGAAATTGACGGTGATCTTCATGTGACTTTCAAATGACTTTCCCATATCAAATCATTGCCACTATCTAATGGTCCTCTTCAAGCCATACAACTTTTGTCTGAAACATTTCTTTTTAAAGTGCATAGTTTATGAAATATTCAACCGGTCCGGGACTTTTGGCACACTCTCTGTGTGTGTGTGTGTGTGTGTGTGTGCGTGTGCGTGTGCGCGGGCGCGCGCGCGCGCGCGTGCGTGCGTGTGCGTGTGCGCGCGCGCGCGTATATATATATAGCAGCCAATTCAGCTAAAAAAAGAAAATGTGTGCCTCCAGAAGCACAACTGCTCACTTAGATCCGATTTTATCATTTAACTTTAATTTTAGTTTAACTCTGTCTTTTTTGAAGGGCACAGAAGGAGAGAAAGAGCGAAAGAGTTGATGAAATCGGACATTAACCGCTCAGTGAATGGTCGTGCTTCTGTACACACCCATTTTCACTTATTAATGGCCAATTAGGTTAAATCCAACTAGATCAGACTATTTTTTTAGCCATTTAAATACATAGAAAAGAAAAGAATTTTGTCAATCTAATGGCTCTTCCAATCACGAGAAGAAGGAAATTCTTAAATTTGGTATGTTGATCATTTGTTGGCGTGTCAATATAATTCAATTGCATTGTATCATTATTAATAAACATTTTTTTTTTCGTGAATGATTACGAAGAACAATCCACTTGTCATCATTATGTCTTCAAACATAATAATTTGGATGAAGAAGTGTCTACAATAATATTGCGATGCAGGAAGCTATGATTATCTTTTATTCCAATTTTCGCTGTTAATTGATTGTTGATCCTAAATACAAGGAATACAGGCAAGATATGGTTTCCAAGCTTGGGTTCTTGCTGCTTGGTTGTATGGGATGTGTTTTGTTATTCTTTATATTCATGGAGAGAGATTTACGGTCACAGACTTCTAAAACGAATCTACTACAATCTCAAATGACATATGAAAGGCTAAGCAAATCATCAGATGATACGAGAATTATAATCGAACCATCATGCAATGCTACCTTCTTGATATGGATTATCACATCTTATGCAGGTGATCCATCAGATAGAAGCGCTTTACGACGAGCGTATATAAATGAGGAATTACAAACCTTAGGAATTGAAAGAGTATTTCTGCTTGGTAAGTTAAATGATGACGCCAAGAAAAGAACGCATGTATCGCAGGAAGCATTATTGGACGAGTCGCGACGATTCCATGACATACTTCAGGGAGATTTCCTTGATACTTATAGAAATTTAACTTGCAAACATCTGATGGGCCTTCGATGGGCAACAAATAATTGTAAACACGCAAGATACATTATGAAGATGGACGACGATATAGTTGTAAATATATATGATTTATTAGAAAAGTTACACTCAGGTATAATAGAGAAGGATTCATTAGCTGGTTACATAATGAAAAATATGGTCCCTGTTCGAGAGCTAGCCAATAAATGGTATGTAAGTCAAACTGAATATGCGGACAATATTTATCCTGATTTTGTCTCTGGTTGGCTCTATATTACAAATTCACAAGTGACAAGTCAATTGATCAATTATGCCAAATCTTCTCATAAATATTTTTGGATAGATGATGTATTTGTGACTGGTATTTTAAGGAAAGATCTAAACATAAAAATCCAAGATATCAGTAAGATATATACAATAGATCATAGATACTTGGAATGTTGTATAAAGGGAAAAACAAATCTGTTGAAATGTGAATTCTTAATTGGTCCTAACGGCGGTGATACAGAGTTACAAGTGAGATTCCAAGAATTTGCAAAGTTTTGTCATGTAAACTGTTTCACTCGTGCCGAAAATATTTTGGTTGCCAAAACCTGTGTAGTTGCATATAAAGAGCCATATCTGCACAAAGGTGCTTTCCACATAAATCCCTTCAAAATTTTATAAATGAATAGGAGCATAGATGTAAAAATTAATATTTCCTTATTTCATGTAAAATCTTTGCTATATTTTTTAAAATAGATTCATTCCCTTGGGCAAAATCTCAAATGTTATTTAAAGCACGTTTTGATTAAGATTAAAAAGAGCAAAAAATTTTTTGATGATAGAAAGTAGCAAAGTGGAAGCATTTTTTATAAAAATGAGGAAGTACTATAATTTTATTGGAGAGAATATTTTCTGTTTATTATATTGTATACAAAATTTGTACAATATTTTATATTTTTTATTATTATATAAAGTTTTATAGAATTGTAGCTGTTTTTTATCTACTTTATATGCATTTTAATAATATTAATTTTAATAATAGTTACTATCACAGTCCTATATGTGATAATAATTTCTCTAGTTTGCAATATATTATTATTATACATACAGCTAATACAGATCATATATCAATATTTTTAGCGCAAAAATAAACAAGCTTTTGATACTCGTAAATCTTTAAATAAAATTAAGCAGTCAGGAGAAAAAATAAAATAAAAACATAAAATTTTATTATCAAAATTGTTTAAAAGAAATTTATATATATTATTTGTAATTACTAAGTCATTGAAAAAAGAAAATAAAAAGTAAAACAAAAAAATTATATCTCCATAGTTTTTGTGAATACTATATCCAAAGTATGTTAACTCTTCTTGGAAAGAGAGAGATTAAACAAGTTTTAGTATCATTTAGCTGTTATTGAAAAATATGTTATATATTAATGCACAGTTTACATGTTGCTTTTTTACTAGTTACTAAGATGCCAGTAACTAGTTTTAAATATAAATAGTATGTATATTTATGTATTTTTATTATAATAATACAGCTGTGGCACACTATGGCTCATAACTTGATGAAAATGTATTAGTTACTGAAGCAATCTGAAGCATGATTTTTCATAAATTAGGCAAAATTCATTTATTCCGAGTATATTTGATCAATTTTTTTTAAGAACAATATTGTTACATCATACAATAATAATTATGACAAATTTGGAATACATACAGATTATTCAAAGTAGGAAAATTTTATTTACTTAATCTGCAACACTTAAATCATTCTCCAGATTAGCAAATAATACATTCCAAATCATAAGACTGTTCTATATTATGTTCAGCCATCATTAATAATAATGAATGATACTATGAGGTCGATGATGCTACACTGCTCTCAAGCATTACATTTAAAATAGAGAGTTAGCATGCCTTGGCTATATTAGAAATAAATTGCAAATTTGTAATTTTCATAAAAAAAAAATATATATATATATTTCTTAAACTTTTGCTTTGAAAAACTAACAATGCATCTGAATTTCCCATTTTTCAGAAATACCAAATACGTTATCTCCCAACATAATTCACAAATTATTGATAGTAATATTTTTAAAGATCTATTTTGTTAGAATAAGAAAAAAATAATAATAATGATATATGAAAAGCAGTATTTTAAAGCACAGATTTTTTTCTTGGTAACTGAAAAGTGGCGCCTATACATAAATGATCACTACCTATTATAAAATTTGGTATTTTTGGTAAAGCGGTACATTGGCTTACTGTAGGTAGAACATATTTTTCTATAGGTTGGATATTATTGCTGTAAAATATGTAATCGACTGTAATCCACTTATCCTGATACGTCGTTGCTTCCTTCTCACCATGGGCACTTGCATGTCTATAAACACTATGCATCTTGAAAGGATGTGTTAGAGTGCCAGATGAAAATCTTACTGAATAGCCCTTTTCGATCTCGATTATCTGTGTACTAGTATTAATGTTGACATTATTTTGTTGTAGAATATTTGTGTTACAAGATACGGTCATATTCCCATCTCGTTTCTGAAGAGGCAACTCGCTATTTTCTAGCTAAATAGAAACATAAAGAGATAAAAAGATAATTAATAACATATATATGCTCACATAACACGTAGAAAAGAAAACTGATAGATTGAATCATGGATTGAATAAAGAATAAGACATACATAATAAAATTTTAAAAGCATATCATAGTATCATGATATAATATTATTTTATAATCTATGCTAAAGTTAAAGAAAAACTTTAAACATGATAGTACTCATTGAAACGAACATATTAAAGTAAATCTTTGACTTCACAAAATAAAATAAAATTTCAGTATTGTTAAATGTGCAATTAAAAACATACCATGACTTTACCAGTACCTTCCTTTCGCAATCTTTGAGTCAAAATGTTAAAATGCTGACAATTATCAGTAATGCATAATCGTGATGGTATCAGAGATTTGGACAAAGAATTATATTGAGAAGGCTCTAAGCTTCGTCCTTTGCCATAATATTCAAACGAACCTTCCGTTAAAAATTTGTAAACGCCTGTAAATGGTTCCAAGTTGAAGTCACCCGTCAGTATGATCGGTAAATATTTTGGGCCCGTTCTACAGAATTATAAACATACATATAAAGAACATTGGATATGATAAAGATATTTTGTTAAAAAGTATATTACATGGTATTTTCAACAAATGCAAATCGTTCTATTTCTGCTAATAAAAGCTGTGTCTGTGCTAATCGTACATCGTTACGTCTTGGATTATATAACAAATGAGTGGTTGCAACCACGATTTGTGTTTCTGGATTATCCCTGAGGGATAATTTAGCAATTATTCCAACATTATCTCTATTCAAAAGCTCAATACCAGCTTGATATAACTCCACTTTTGCGTAATCTAATAAAACAAATTGATTGGAGTGATATAGCAAGAGCAAACCATCCTTTTTATCATTGGTTCTTTTTTTATATAGATATTCATATCCAAGTTGTTTGAATGGAATTACGAAATCTAGTAGATGGTCCTCCTGCATTTCTTGAAGACATATTATCTGGAATATGAGAAAACTCGCAATATTTTGTTTACATTCTTATTAAATTTGACAGACCTAAATATAGAAAAATAAGTCTATACATTTGCATCCGCCTCACGTATCTCCTGTATCAGCAGAGGTTTTCGAATTTTCCAACTCAAAGCTTTCTTGTTATGATCCTGATATAAATATGAATGATCTTCTAACAAGTTTTGTGCAAGGATGTTAAAAGATAAAAGTCTCAAAATAAAAGAATCATCCATATTGTCAGCCAATCTATCTAAAAATGTATAATAAATTATGTTCTTGGGGCAATAAATAATAATATATATAAATGATTGTTTCTAACTGGACACACATACATACATACATACATATATATATATATATATATATATATATATATAATGTGTGTGTGTGTGTATGGTGTGTATGTACATGCATGTCCATTTGATAATTTTTTTTTACATTTGAAAAAGAAAAATAACAATCTTTACTTTTTCCGATTCGTTTCCACTTTCTCATAATCTTATATCTTTCTTTATCAATATAATTTCCATGCTTTGTATCTGCTGCACATATATTAGTTTTAACATTGTGCGTTATATCCGAAAATGCTCCAGGTTGACAATAAACCAAATTATTCGAAGTTGTGTGAAATGATACATCGCACATTGTAGTAGTATTATTTTGATCATAACATGTGTCAAGATAAGATTCCATCTTGGTTTTTGTACATTTTTGATGAGACGCAGGATCCATAAAGATGGCGAGATCGAGATAATTAGAAACAAAAGCTTCCGGAAATGGATTCAGATATAGGTTCTCTAGGGACAATCGTTGCCAAATTGGCTCTACCATGTAAAAAATCTGAGGAAAAGTTGTATAATAAATAATTAGAAACGGTGTAATGAATGCACACGCAATGAATACAATTAAATATTATATAAAGAAAATGTAAAATGTGTAAAAGATGTATATAAAATAATTTTAAACGTTATTTAATAAAACTAACTTCGTACTTCTTTGAAAAATACACAAAAAAGTGTTTACACATGATTAAAAATTATATTAAATTTAAATAATTAATATACACTATTTTTCATCTTAGATGTTTAATTTAATCCGCTTACCTTAAATCTTGATAAAAATATACTCATTCGATGTATTTTGCATAAAAAAATTGAAAAAATTAAAATTGCTGCTTTTTAATTTTGAAAAGAATAATTAAGTATTAAAGATAATAATGCGTGTGAAGGTTAGAAAATCTGTCATATCGACGATGTAAGAACAATCAATTCGTTCTTTTTATTTGAAGTGCTGTACTGGGAGTGTATTGGAACTAGCGAATTCAAGGTAATGTTTCATGGAACGAACGTACGACGTTAAGCCGTAATCACACTACGGGTTGCAGGCTCGATTGCGATTGGAATTGACCAATCAGAGTAGCCGGCCGATAAATTGCTTTGTTCTGATTAATTTCAACCGCAACCGAACCCGCAATCCGTAGTATGATTACGGCTTTAGGACCACTTCGACCAAACCATTGAACTATAGAACTAACTGGAAAGAACGCTCCTTTATTACGAGCCGAGCCTGCCTGTGCGACGAAGGCCATCGCTATTTGGAATCGCTTTCTCTGTTACACTAACATGCTATATTTCTCCTATAGTTTCATGACTATCTATGCCCATACCTTAGTCAGTATGGCCCGGTTTCACAACTCGAGTTAATCCGAGTTTAATACGTTAAACTGGGTCCTGATTGGTCCATTTGCTACTTAAACTCGGATTAACTGGATTGTGGAACTGGGCCTATATGTTCGAATAATGAATATATAAAAAATATTATTGTAATGAAATGAATTATTTAAGGAAATATAATGGCGACAATAAACAAAATAAAATAATGTTCTATTTTGTTAAATTTTTGAAAAAATTCTGTACACAACTTTAATACACAGACATATATTTTTAGTTAAGGTAATACATGAAAAAGAGAGACGGGAATACCAAATAGATATTGTCTCCCTCGGCTCGAGATCACCGGGCAATAACAAAGACAGCGCTCGTTTCAGTTAGTTCTATAATTCAATGGACCAAACTCAATATCAGTGCGTTCGAAAATATGTTTGGTTGGTGTTGGGAAAAAAGATAAAGTTGGCAGTATTGAAAACTCCCAGTGCTGCGTTTTGTTTCTCCCACTGGGATCACTAGGATTAAAAAAATTTGCTACTTGAAATATTAAAAGAGGTAAATAAGTAGTTAAATATATTTTATAATAATATGTTTAATAACATCACATATATTATTATTAATACGAAAGTGTGTTTTATATTAATAATGCTATAATTATAATAAAGTGACATAATTTACCTAAAATGTGATTTAAATTCAATATTTGTATATCTGGTAACAACATTTTCCAAATAATCTGTTATTTTTTGTACTATTTTCCTTTCACCTCTATTGTTATTACCTTTATTTTCGAATAAAATATTTTGTAATTCTTTATCATTGGGTGTGTTTTGGGGTCGCATCGCTACAGTAGCGCTACAGCTTTTTTGCTACAATTGTAGCGGTAAAATTGGTTGAAATTGAGTATAGCGTTACATTTGTAGCGCTATACTCAATTTCAATTAGCATTACTATTGAACTGCGTAATGCTATTTTATGTAGCCTCAAAATTAAATTTATTGTAAAAGTCCTGCTCGTAATATGGAAAATTGATATGAAAAATTTAATTAATATGGAAAATATAGAAGATTTCCTCATAAATGAAATTTTCCTTGAGGATGATTCCTCAGATGATGATGGCGAAGAAGAAGAATTTATAAGGTTCTTTTTACATAATTTACAAGGTAAGAAAAATGTATAGATAATAAGAAAAATATATAGATAATTTTGTAACAATAATTGAGATAATCTTTAAAAAATAACAAGTTCGATCTTATATCTAAAAAATTAAAAAGAAAATCTTGTATCTATTTTTTAGAAGAAGAAAACAACAATAATCTGATTGCTTTAGAAGTGGGAAATGTAATATTACATGAAATATTTTATCCTGAAAGGGAAAATAATGAAGTGATAAACTTAAATTATGTTGAAGAAATAATACCACGTTATAATGATGATCTCCCAGATAGCACAAAATGTCCTTAGGATTATCCTAAATATGTCCAGGACATCCTAGGATATTTATGGGCTATTTTGTTGTAAAATTAAAAATATTTTTTATTTGCATATATGACCATTTTCAACCATATTAGGCATTTTATTTAATTCAAAAATGTCAAATATTGTAATAAAATATAAATATCCTATAAATATGTACTGGATGTCCGCTGGATATAATTCAATTGAATAATATCCATCGGACATCCAGTAGATATTTATATAGGACATTTATATTTTACTGAATATACATTTATCTAATTTTAAGTACAAAAAGTGCTAAAGAGTTTAAATAAAATAAATAAACCTATATATTGTTAGAAATATAAGATGTCCTAGAAATATCCTAAGGATTTCCCAAGGATGTGTCTACATTTTAGCATAAGTATTGATATAATGGAGATATGCAATTGCGTTTTTTTATTTAATGTATCTCTCTTGGAACTAAAGTTTTGTCTGAAACATTCTCTACAATATTTTTACAGTTAGTATTTTTTGCAATTTAGTCGTATTAATAAAAATATAGGACATTCTATATAGTTTATAATAATATTTGATGTTATTTTCATAAAATATTAACGTATCTTCTATATTATATGTATCTTATTCCTAAGCGAGTCACATCTGTCATATAAGGCCGAATTCCCACTAAGCGCGACACGTAATGCGCGACATGTAACATGCTCAGTGAAAATTCGGCCTAAGACTGTATTGCGCGTATGTATTTAGCAAACGCGCATGCTTAAAAAGCACCTTCGAGAAGCTTTGAGAAGGTATCATGGCGGTATATGCTGGCAAGTATTAACGTGTGAGCACGTGTAAGAATAAAAATTTCTTTTATGGTGCGAATGTATGTGAATAAAGCACTAAAAGTTGTATATTTTTGTATACTGAAAATTGTGTATTATATGGGAAGGCAATTGAGATATTCAAGCATCTGGAATTACTCGGCACAATAGTGGTAAGATATTAATCCAAATATATATTATTTTTATATTCATAAAAATTGTGTTCTTATTAATTAAAGGCTTATTAATTTACGTTATATACGTACATTATAAATTTCGGTATACTGGCAATTATATTGGAACACGGTCTATAATTAATAGGAAACACAGCTATAATAAAATAACATATTATTGTTAAAAATGCATCATTTGTATCTTTTCTTGAACAGATTTTTGTTTCATTTTATTATAGAAATTTCTACGGATTGTTTAAGCGTTACGTTGTTTATCACATCTGAAACGCTATATAACTTTAAGGACAAATTTTCTTTGATGCAAGTTGTGGCAACTGAAAATTGTATTTCAAGCAATTGAGATATTCACAGGAATTGCTCCTGAAATTATTATCAGCACAATAGTGGTAAGATATTATCCCAAATATTTTATTTTTATATTCATAACAATTATGTTTCTATTAATTATAGGCAGTGTTTCCCGATATAACTGCCATTATACTGAAATTAATAGTTTTTACGTTACGTATTATAAATTTCAATATACTGGCAATTATATCGGAACACAGCTATAATAAAATAACATATTAATCTTAAAAATACATCATTATTTTCATCTTTTCTAAAATAAATTTTTGTTTCATTTTATTATAGAAATTCCTGCGGATTATTTAAGCGTTATGCAGTTGATATGCATAACATCTGAAACATTAACTTTTAAGAGCTTTTTTTGATGCGAGTCGTGGCAACTGTATATACATACTGAAAACTATATTACAAACAATTGAGATATTCACTGGAATTGCTCCTGAAATTATTATCAGCACAATAGTGGTAAGATATTATCCCAAATATTTTATTTTTATATTCATAACAATTATGTTTCTATTAATTATAGGCAGTGTTTCCCGATATAACTGCCATTATACTGAAATTAATAGTTTTTATGTTACGTATTATAAATTTCAATATACTGGCAATTATATCGGAACACAGCTATAATAAAATAACATATTAATCTTAAAAATACATCATTATTTTCATCTTTTCTAAAATAGATTTTTGTTTCATTTTATTATAGAAATTCCTGTGGATTATTTAAACGTTAGTTGATATGCATAACATCTGAAACATTAACTTTTAAAAGCTTTTTTTGATGCGAGTCGTGGCAACTGTATATACATACTGAAAACTATATTACAAGCAATTGAGATATTCACTGGAATTGGTCCTGGAATTATTATCAACACAATAGTGGTAAGATTTTATCTTAAATATTATCTTTATATTCATTAAAATTATGTTTTTATTAATTACATTTCGTTTCTCTAAGTTTTTTTTTTAAAAATGAGAAAAAATATTTTAAGACGATATATAAACCTACAGTTCTGAAAAAAAATAATTTTTAGAAATTTTTTTTAAATTAAACTTTTTTTATTGAAAAATATACATAATTTTAAATATATTACCTAATTTATAATAATTTTAAATATAATACCTAATTTATAATAATTTTAAATATATTACCTAATTTTTGTTTAATAAAATTCCTAAAAATCATTTTTTCTGGCTTTTAGATGTATATAAATTTTTAAGTATTGCTATAAAATTCAAAGATGCAGAATAATTTATTTATTATGAGAAATTAAGTAAAGAATCTTGTTTCTCTCTTTAAGTATTTTTTTAAAGTGTAACATAGAACGATTATAATGATATACTCTATCATATATTTAAACAATTATATTGAAAAACAAATTGATTGATTATGTTTAAAATTGATTATGTTTAATGAAAAGTCCTAGATCAATATTCAATTATCGGGGATTGCCCGATTAGACACAGTACGATTAGACACAGCCAATTATATCGACCGATGCTTGGGGTAACCAGCACGATCAAGCACGATTAGCCAATCAAAGCCAGTTGTGTCCAATCGTACTGTGTCTAATCGGAGGTGTTTCCAATTATCCATATATCTTAAAACTTTGCTTTACATTAAATTTTGGGAAGGGTAATATATAATGTAAAACAAACACCATCAATCAGATTGCTTACATAGGTAAGATTGGGTTATATCTGGCTAATCTATGTAATGGTTGATGGTTTATTTTATCTGGGATTTATTCCTAAATTTTAATTTTTTCAAATTTATTATTTTAGATAATATCTATCTTTAAATTGTTTATAGATATGCAAACATGTCACGGGGGGAAAAATTTATATGCAAACGTGCAATTAGTTCTTCACATAGAATGAAATTAGCGAAGTTGGAAACAAAAGTTTTAATGGAATCCTTTGATAAACCATCAATGTCCAATTCAACATGGTCTTGCAAAAATGACTTACAAAATGAAAATGAATTACAAAACAAAAATGAATTGCAAAGTGAAAATGAATTACTACATGAAAATGAATCACAAAACGAAAATGAATTTCAAAATGAAAATTTCACATCTGATAATGATACAAGTGAATCTGAGATATCTGATCATAATATTAGAATTTTGCAAGATTTTACAAACAATTTTACAGAAAGTAATGATTCGAATAATGAATCAGATCAAAATATTGATTTTAAGAAATTTTTAGCTAATTGGACAGTTACAGAATGTATTTCACATTCATCATTACGCTTATTATTAAAAGGTATAAAACAGTATGCATGTCAAAATTGTAGTTTTGATATTCCATCTGATCCAAGAAGTCTTGTAAATACTCCTCGCAATACTGATACAGATGTTTGTGGTAATGGATATTATTATCATTTTGGTTTGACAAAATCAATATTAAATGCCATATCATCGATTTCAAGAAATATCACTAATATTAAAATATCTATAAATATTGATGGATTACCATTATCAAAGTCGTCACAACGCCAATTTTGGCCAATTTTGGGATTCATAGCTGATTTTAAAAAAGTTTTTGTTATCGGTATTTATTATGGTACAGAAAAACCAACCGATTCAAATGAATTTCTTCAAAAATTCGTGAATGAAGCTAAACTATTATGTAAAGAAGGAATAATTATTAATAACAAAAATATTCCTTGTATAATAGATTCAATAATATGTGATGCGCCAGCAAAAGCATTTATACTGAAAATAAAAGGACATAATGGTTATTTCAGTTGCACTAAATGCATTACTGAAGGCAGTTACATTAATGGCAAAATGTGTTTTCTTGAAATTAATGCACAGTTACGAACAGACATAGATTTTCGTTTAAGAAAAGATGAAAATTTTCATGTTGGATATTCAATTCTCTCAGAAATTCCAAATTTCGATCTTGTACATAATATACCTTTAGATTACATGCACCTTATTTGTTTAGGAGTTACGCGAAAATTATTGTATATCTGGTTATTTGGAGAACTTACAGTTCGTTTACGAAACAGAAAAGTTAAAGCAATCTTATGGCAGCTAGAAAATGTATTAAAATTATATATGCCATGCGAATTTGCACGTAAGCCAAGATCACTTACTTTAGTAAAACTATGGAAGGCTACAGAATTTCGAAATTTATTATTATACACTGGTCCTATAGCTTTGAAACCTTCTCTTCGAAAGGATTTGTATGACCATTTTCTAGTGTTACATGTAGCAATTAGAATATTATGTTCCTCAAAGTTACGAGATTTTATTGATTATGCTCACGATCTTCTTAAACATTTTGTATCATCATTCAAGTTATTATATGGTGTACATAATATTTCCCATAATATACATGGACTAATTCATATTGTAGAAGATGCAAAAAAATTTGGCACATTAGATTATTTTAGTGCTTTTAAATATGAGAATTACTTACAAACATTTAAAAAATTATTGAAAAAGCATGATAAACCACTAGAACAAATAGTTCGCAGATACACTGAATATGAACAAAATAAGATCAAAGAGAACAAAGCAGAAGAATGTGAAATAACGTGTACTCATTTTTTAGTAGACCTCAAATCTACTCATACAAAAGGTCCTTTAATAGAAGGTTGTTATAATCCACAATATCGAATAATGAGATGCTTAAATACAACAATACGTATCGATACTTTGGCAGATAACTGTTGCCGCTTAAAAAATGGAAACATTATTGAAGTGAAAAATATTGCTTACTGTAAAGAGCTTAATACAAACGTTGTAATAGGAAACGAATTTTGTCATAAAGAAGATTTATATAATATTCCTTGCCATTCGTCTTTTATAGGAATATTTATTATAGAAAACTTATCAGAATTAAAGATGTGGCCGGTAGAAGATGTTGAAACAAAATATGTTAAGCTACCATTAATAAAAGATAATAAATTTGCAGCTTTTCCATTGTTGCATTAATTTTAAACATATTTCAAGATAGAGAAAAATAAAAATAAAAATAGAGTATTTACTGATTATCATCATGGAAGAATACTCCATTGTTGAATTTGAAGATGGTTTGCAAATGATTCCCACTTCCTGGCTAATAAAAGATAAGAATGCTGCTTATTGGCCACAATTTACTTCACATGTGAGATTTATAAAAGCTGTGCAGAAAAATATTTTACCTGATGATAATTGGCCCATGTATAACGTGAAAAGGATCTTAGCTACTTCAAGTAAGTTATAAACAAAACAAAAAAATAAATGTTATATAAACAAAATAAATGTTTAATGTTAAGAAATTGCTGTTATAAATTAAAAATATAATGTTGTGTTTCTTTTAACTGTGTTAAGCATTAATAAATTATATCTTCTATTTAGACACATATGAGAAAGGACTACTCAAATTAAAAAAAGCAGAATTTATATCGGACATAAATTCAGAAAGCGATGACTCAGAAGAGTTAAAAAAATCTCGAAAGAATAGGGCCAAAAAAACAATATCAAGCAGCGATGATACTAATGATGATGAAAGGATTCAATTACCAGCCTATCCTAAAATTCCACATATAAAAAAGGATACACGTGAAATGAAAATGAATATATTTCATAATAAGTCGAAGCAACAATTAACGAGTATGTAAAAAATAAATAATACATATTTTTTTATAACACAATAATTTAATTAAACTTATTATTTATATTATTATTTATATTAAAATATAGAAAGGATATATACCCTTGAAAAAAAAGAATTGGAAAAAAAAAATATTAATTTAACAGAAACAAATCAAGCAACGTACAATTTGGCTGATGATTGTGGAGGTAATTTTTATAATTATCATAAGAATATCATTAAAATATTTTTAAAACATGTATGTTTTGTAGCAATACTTGATAAAGATGAAGAAATTATATATGATGATGAATCTCCTAATAACCATTATAAAACTGAAAATAATAATAGTTCATGTAAGTATGAAATATGATTTATGAATCTATTAAAATAATTTTATGTTTTATTAATTTTTATATTTCAATAATTTTATTTTATATTTTTAGCAAACTCTGATTTTCAACGCTATATAATAAGAAAATTAACAGATATAGGATTTAAATTATCTTCAATAGAAGAACAAGAAAGACTTTTAAACAATAGAATTGATATTATGTTACGTAAACTTGAGAAATGTTTTTCATGTGAAGAAATTTTGGACAAACAAATTGCAGAAGAATCTTTAATGGATAATTTTCCTATTGACAATATTGAGGATCTGGAAAAATTCGAAAAATCGTTAAAAGATAATATTATTAACCGCAAAGAATTGGTAAATATATTAAAAAATTTTATTAAGTGTATGTATAAAATTATATTTTTAATAGTCAAATCTATTAAAACAAATTTCTCCAAGTGTCTGTGTTTCTATTCTTATTAATTTAGTTAGTAGAATATTAACAGAAATCTAATGGTCTCTTTGATGTCCAACGTATGATGATATTCATAATAATAGCTTCTTAAAAAATAAGAATTCTTAAAAAAAAATTTTGTTATTTTGGATATCAGATATCGGCAGCATCGGATAAATCCTCAATCTCAAATTATATTAACAAGCTCTGTTGATAGAATAAAAGCTTAATGTAGACACATATAGTATTCTAACTGAAGTTGCCAATTTGTCGACAGATTGTAATTTTACTTATTAGAATTTTTCTTATATATTTTTCACTTTTATAGATTAAGCAGCTATCATCTATTGGAGGAAATAATATCAAAGGCATCACTTTTAATCTTTTACGAGTGTTAATGTCAGATAAGTTAGCTTCTACATTTAGTTATGTTGGAGGAAAAAAAAAACGGATATTTTATGATTTACAACTACGAAAAATTATATTTAGTGAGTAAATAATCAAGTATTTAAATATACATGATAAAAACAATATTTATTTATAAATGTAATTTATGTAATTTGTTATTTTTTTAGATGTTGTACGACTTCGATTTGCAGAAGCAACTGAATATTGTATTTCCGAGCCAATCAAATCTTGGTTACGACATGCGAATGAGCGTTATCTAAAGAAAAATAAGTAAGTTTTTACAAATTTTCGTAAATACACGGTATTTATGAATAAGTTATTAATTATCATTTATTTTCACAGGATGGATGACACAAATGTATAAATGCATCACGTAGCAATTTGTTACAAATGTGGAAAAATATTATATACAGAGTGACACACGCATATATTATTATGAAGAAAATTATTCATTTATTTTTCTCTTAGGGAAAAGATTATGTATATTATTATGAAGAAAATTATTCATTTATTTTTCTCTTAGGGAAAATCTTTTCTATTTTATGAATATAAAGTACAAATGTTAAAAGCGTTCACATATTTTATACAGTTAATAGATAAAAGTTATTATATATATAAAAGTTAATAGATAAAAGTTATTATATATATAAATACACATTTATTTTAAATGTAGTTTTAAAGTTTTGGTTTAAATTTAGTTTTAGTTTAAAGTTTAACTTCAATTTTGAGTTTAAGTTGTTTTGTTCACATAAATTTATTTGCACAAAATAAAAAAAACTTTTTTTCATGCAAATAAACTTATTTAAATAAATTATTTATATAAGTTCACTCATTTCTTATTACTGTTCTTTGCGAAAATCTAAATTTTATTTTTTGTAACATATAAGTGTTTGTAATTTTTAAATTTAATGTTAATTAATATAATTAATATAATTAATAAATTATATTAATTAACATTAAATTTAAAAATAAATAATACTTATAATTTAAAAATAATAAATTAATGTAATTTGTTTTTAATTAATAATAAATATTAAATGACGAACTATTTTCAGTATTACATTTTAATAGTTGCAATGAATAACAGAACGTAATATTAGTTTATTTCATTTTCAGAGCATCAATCATGTAACTTTTCCCTAAGAGCAAAAATGTGAAAAGTGAAAAGTTTTGGCAATTTCGAATTCGGCAATTTTATTTATCAAATTCACGAAAAACTTTTCATTTTTTACGTTTTTGCTTTTAGGAAAAAATTACATTGATGCTCAGAATTTGCTCCTTAAAACATATGAAAAATATCCCTAATATATCCTGTAGAAATCCTTAGGATGTTCCACAAGATGTCCCTGGATTTTCCAGAGGCTAATATATGGCTATCATTTCCTCTTCCCGAGGACGTCCAAAGAATATCCACGGATAAAAATAGGATATCCTTAGGATATCCTACATGTATATCCTGGATGGTCTTAGGATGCCCTCAGGATATCCTTGTGCTATCTGGGCTATTCCATACGCATTTTAGAATGCATCGAAGAACATATATCGTAAATATTGATTTATATCTAATCATAATAGTAAATAATATTTAGTATTTAAATTTATGTATAATTAACTATTTTTCCAGGAATTGGAAAATATAGTTGGACCTCTGATTATACAGAGAGAAAATGATATATCATTATTTATCAAAAAAACTATTATTAACATTATGGATTATAGCTACTCCAGAAAGTTTTCGATCTGTTGCAGATAGATTTGGTCTTTCTAAATGTGTAACTTGGAAGATCTTTAAAGAAGTGGTTTGGGTGTTAAAGAGAATAATGCCACGCTTTATAAGATGGTCAAACGATGTAGAATGTGTAGAAAGTGAAAGGGCATGTATCTTGTACTTTCCAATTTACAGAATATTATGAATGCTTGCTGCTCTAACGATTTTAATTATTCCAAGTTTACTTATTTTTTTAAATCTTAATTTATCTTGCAATATTTCGTATCTATCAAATCATAAATACTTCAATATTTTTTAAATTCAATTATCGATTTCAGATTTTTCGAATGCGATCAAGAGGATTTCCAGGTGTTGTAGGGGCTATTGATGGCTGTCATATCCCAATTAAACAGCCGCCTGGAAATGCAAATGATTATTACAATCGTAAAGAATTTCATTCTATTATTTTGCAAGGTAAAATTTATGTACTTTTTTGTCAAGCATTTTTGCAATGATTATATTTCATTATAGGTGTTTGCGATCACACTGGAAAATTTATCGACTGTTTAATCGGTCGGCCAGGACGTGCACATGATGCGGCAGTTTTTCGAAGCAGTAATATTTATGGCAGACTGATAGATGAAGCAAATCCTTTGTTACCTTCTCAACGACACATTATAGGTGATTCCGCATATCCATTGCTCAAAAATGTGATGACTCCATTTCGAGACAATGGAAATTTAACCCCAGAAAAGTCTATGTATAATACTACACTTTCCTCAATACGATCGATAATAGAACGTGCCTATGGATTGCTGAAAGGAAAGTGGCGAAGATTAAAATATCTTGATGTGAAAAGTATTGATATGGCAAATCATATTATTGCTGCCGCATGTACTCTTCACAATTTTCTTATATTACATAATGAAATCGCAATAAGAGAGAATGTGAACATTGACATTAATATAAATATTGAGCACGAAGATTATAACAGTGATGAAAATGATAATGATTTTCAAAATGAGAATGGACAAATGAAAAGACAAGAAATTGCGAATAGATTGCTTCAACTGAAAAGACAAGAAATTGCGAATAGATTGCTTTAACTTAATTTAATTAATTTTTTTTATAAATGTATCAATATAAATTTAAACTCAGAAAAATAAGTTTTATTTTTATATCTTAATCTATAATCTTATAATATCTAATCTTTACAATATCCAATATATATTATATTTTTAGAATAAAGGGTATTTTTACTTGTGCAAAAAGATAAATTATGCAAAAATTGTAATTTCTAAAAAAATAATGTAAGATTAAATTAAATAACAACAAGTTTTAATTGTTTGATGGATTTATTTTCTTATTTATATAAAGTTATTTATATAAGATGTATCATTTACATAAGATATATTATTTAAGATATATTACATAAGATATATTATAGATTTATCATTTTATATTATTTCAGATGTATTATTTTTAGATTTTATAAGCATCTCCAACATTTTATTCCTTTTCTCCAAAATATCGTTTCTTTCTTTAATTAATTTATTTCTTTCTTGTAGTGCTATTGTAACTTCTTCTATTTGTTTTGTAATTAAGTCTTTTGAACCTTGATTTTTTTCGATATTTTGCAATATATTAATTTTCTTTGATTCTAGTTCAATTATTTTATTTCTTTGGTTATATAATTTTCTTTTATTTAATGATATGTCTTCATTTGAATCTCTCGTCGAAGCATCATGAAAAGTTGAATCTCTCGTCGAAGTATCATGAAAAGTTGAATCTCTCGTCGAAGCATCATGAAAAGTTGAATCAGTATTAGAAGTAGAAGAATATTCATCAAGCATATTTGATGGTCCCTCCATGCTACTTTCTATATCACTGTCCGAAACATGATCCGACGCGTCATAAGATGATGAAACAAAATCAATATAATTTGACAAACATTTACATAATTTATTAATATCATTAAAGTGTTAAAAAGATAATGTTAAATTTGGTAATGAAAACCTGTGCTTAGAAAGATCTATAGCTTCATAAAAAGGATTTTCGTGAAAAGGTCCACTCTCCATAGATGATATTCCTTTTTCAAAATTTACAGACTTGTCTGCATTAAAAATTTCGTCCATCTCACTATAAAACTCCCAGTCTTCACGGCCTCTTCCAGTTTTCTTTTTATTATTTTTTATTCGCTTGTAAGTAGATTTCATATTTCGTATTTTTCTATCAATGCTATGAGCATTAAGTTTGGGATATCCCAGTTCCTTCATTTCAGTTTCCATCTCCTTCCAAAGGCGACTTTTTTTAATTTTTGGATTGCGGAATTTTGGCGCTCGCCTGTCTATCGCAATGCTCAGTCCAGTGTATAAGTCGATGAGTACTATATATATGGAGTTTGGTTGAAGTGGCCCTTATGCGGCGTCTACAATGAGATTTTAAGAAGACTTAAGGCGTAAAGGCCCTCACACAATGTTAGAGAACAGGCAATAAGAGGTTTGTTTGCGTCGTATGCTCCAATGTATTCCAGAAAGCACTTGCATCACAAGTAAGATGGCGGTTAGAGCAGATGAGTTCATGTGCACCAACGTTTGGTGACACGAACGGACTTTGCCCGGTGTTGCTTTAGAGATTAGAAACACCAAGGAATGACGCCAAGAGGTCGGAAAAGAACCGGAGTCGAAGATGGAATTATAGATATCTAGTAAAAGCGAGAGATATTCTTCTGGTAATAGAGAGAGCATTTTATTATCTATTTTATCGAAGCCTGGAGAAGTGTGAATCTTTAAGTTACGAATAGCTGAAATCAGTTCCTGAATATTAAAAGGATCATCAAATATTTTGCAAGAGTAGTTTGTTGGAAAGTCATTAATGGAAGAAAAAATTTAATTGAAAACAGATGGTAGACAGAGGGAATCGATAGCATCCTGGATGGAAGGAGGAGGAACGAGGCTGAATCAAGGGGACAGTGGGTACTTCAAATTGACGAAATCTAAATCGTCCGATAAACCGCCATTGTTAATGAAATAGGAGTGTTCGGGTCGAGCCTACCACAAAACTCCCTCCAACCCCTCCGTCTCTCCGTCTTCAAAATCCTTCTAGTGGTTACTTCTTGCTTTTTAAAGGCTAGATAATTGGAAAAGGATGGACATCTCTTAAAGACGGAGAGAAGTTCGCGTCGCGAAGTTACCGCCTGCTGGCATGTATCGTTCCATCATGAAGCTGGGGGGAAAATTTTTTTCCTATTTTTTTGCGAAGAATACCCTTCAGAAGTGTGTGATTTATCAGGGCAAGAGGGCCACTGACAGAGAAGATGATCCGTAAAGTAAGTGTATCACTGGGAGAACACAGTGCAGAGTCTTTGAGAGTTTCCCTTAACAAATCCAATGAAGTGCAGAGGTTCTCGACAAATCGTTTGTCTAGTGGTTTTGAGTGCTCGATTCTATGAGAGAAAAAATTTCTTTTTATAGGAATGCGGTTGAAAATAATGGTAGTCAGGAAATGATCAATAAAGGTTTGTTCGCGTCGCATGCCCCAACATACTCCTACTTACTCCAATACGCTCCAATACGTTCGCGTTACCGGAATTAATATGGTGACTAGGTGTTCGCGTCGAGATAGAACATATTCTAAGGAGCAATTAGGAGCATGCTCCATGTGCCTCATCTTCGATGGTGGTGCAGTTGGGGCAAATGTGTGTGCATGCGTAATATATAAAATATGAATTGATGGATAAATTCTTTAAACAAAAATGCATAACAAATTCTCTATCTGTACATATTGGCACTGTATGTTCAACATAGTCGGTTATGCATGTTCTAAGTCATCGGACGAAACCTTCATTTCAATAATTGCGTTAACAGCAATATCTGCAAATATAAATTATATAAAATTTAATAAAAATGCACAAACTAAAAAAAAGGCGAATTTAAAATAACACCAATCTTTAGAAATTATATTAACACAAGATTAGAACGCTACATCTTCTTAATACTCACTTTCTATTTCGTCATCGTTTTCATTTTCAAAATTATTAATAGTCAAGGGTAATAGATTTTGTTCTACAAATTCATCATTAATATTATCAATTATAATATTATTAGTAGTAATACAAGGAGAGTTCTAACCCAGATCCTCTCAAGGGGGGTGAGGCGCGAGGGGAACCGCGGTGCGGGGGAAGTGACGTCACGCGCGGGGAAGGAGGAACCGCGGCGCGCGGTGGGTGACGTCACCTGCAGGAAAGGGGGATCCGCGGTGCAAACGATAGACGAGGGGGTCCGCGCAAAGAAGACGGTGGTGTGAGAAGGACAGTGCTACGTGTGGGAAAAGGATAGTGCTACGAGTGCGACAAGGATGTCATCAGCGTGGGACAAGGACGCATAGGTGTGAGAAGAACAACGCAAAGGTAAGTGAGCAATGAATATATAAAAAAAAAGAGAACGATAATATTCTAAGACAACACATGCGAGAGAGAACAATAGCGCGAAGACGACGAGTGCGAGAGAGAACGATATCGCAAGACTTACAATTAGCGCGCGCGGGAGAGAGAGAGAGATTATTCTAATCGCGAGAGAAAGAGATAGACTTACAACTAGCGCGAGACTTACAATTAGCGCAACGAAGACATCGCGATACTTATAACTAGTGCAAGAGAGATGCAGATATAGGAACGCAAGGAAAGGCGCATAAATAATTAGATTTTTTTAAATTAAAATATATATAAAATTTATTAAAAATGTGTGTGTGTGTGTGTGTGTATTTTACAATTTGTGTGTGTGTGTGTGTGTGTACTTAAAATTAATAAAATAAAATTTTAAAATATAAAATATAGGAAATTAAAATATAAAATATAATAAAATTAATTGGAGGACGGTGCACTAAGCTAAGGGGAGGCCGCTCTAGGGGGGCGATGTGTCGGGCTGAGGGGGCCACTCCTGGTCCTCTCGTCGACCATTCATATATTCTCGTAAACTCTGAAATTAAACATAATAATTGTAAATGTTTTAAATTTATTACACATTAGCAAAAATATTTTTACCTTCAACGTTTCCAAGTCATGTCGTAGCTTATTGTCATGCACATCTTCTTCGAATTTTTCTATGCCTTTCAATGATTCAATATCTTTACATAGTCTATTTCCGAAACATTTTACTGTAGTGTGATTAGGATCTTCTCTGTACATGCACCAACTTATACCACATTTTTCAACAGAGTTCGCAAAATATTTTCGAGATTTGAGAAATCTCTTCAATGAATTTGTGCGGGGTTTTTTTAAGCCGAGCTCTTGATGTCTTATAAATTGAATGATTGAAGTTTCCAGATTCTTCTTCGAAAGTTGTTCCCGCTCATACTGAAGTAATTCTTCAACATCACTAGTCCGAAAATCGAAATCAAGTTCCTTATCGGATGATTCTTCCTTCGCATACAATTTCTTCCATTTCGCTCTCCTCTCTCTCTCTCAATCTCAATTTTTTTCGCCACAACTGGATCCATCCAATCATCATCATCATCCATATCTTCATTGTCGATGATAACGTCGTCTTCAGCCATTGCACTAACGTAACACACAAGACTAACGAAACGCAAAGAACAACGAAATAATATTCTAATGCCGCAGACTCCTCTTCATTATATATCTTTTAATATTTTGCGTCTCATTCCAACTAGAGCATCGCGTCTCATCTACCTTAGCATTTCTTTACACCTTTAGCGGAGCGTGTTAAGAAAAATTGTAAACTATTCTTATTTGTATGAAAAGAAAGAAATAAAATCATAGATGGAATAAAAATAATTATTTATTGCACACATCGTAAAGAATATCATTTATAGCACATGTTAATAATTCGCAATCGATCAATGATTCGCTGTTAACATCACTCTCGTGTATCGTTTTTACAGCATCGCATACAGTAGTAATATTACTACGTTGTAATACAGTTTCAAATTGTTTAAATTTTTCATTAACGAGATACGTATTCTCGCATAACCAATTGTGCATATGATCGATACAATTTTCAAAATTAAATAAATGTAATAACGTTTCTGGTTTCATGTACAAAGAATTACCACATAATGTGAGTTTTACAATTTTTGATTGATATATTTCGATCGTTAAATCTCCAATCCTTAATGGGTGAGCAGTCGATAGTAGAAATTATTCAACGACTGCTTGCTTCCGCATCAACAAATTTCACGTTGAAAAAGGCAACACTATTTGATTGCCTCGATTATTGCCGAGAATCAGTTCCATGTACGATACAGCTCCAACGCTTATTCAAATGTTCAAATACTTGTATACGACGTCGGGGTTAGAGCGTACCTTCTTCCAAGTATGCGAGCCGCACAATGAGGTTGAATACTACAAAATATAAAATATAAATAATTAGATTAATATTTAAGAAAATTTTAAACAAATTGAAAAATTTTTAAACGATTTAAACTTACATGTCGCATTTCTGCTTCTTATACGGCGGAGTTTCACCGTTTCGAATCAGAACATAAAAATTCATATCGAGTTCTTCAGCGGTGAATTTTTCACACGCGCGATTGATGCAATACTGCAATCGTATTAGAATTAATATCAATTCAAATAGTATCGTAAATTGTGATGTAGAGGGGATTATTGCTGACGCAACATTTTAATTTCCTCCAAAATTTTGTCCTGCTGATGTACGGCTGCGATGACATCATCATCTTCAGAACAAAGATTTAGCTGAATTTGTTAAAATCGAGCGCCGATTTACGGCTGCTCTTGATGCAATCACGCTAAATTTTTCAAATGTACGTGAAATGAAAACGCGAAATTTTCAAGGTTAAGATTCACATCGGAACAAAGATATAACCGAATTTGCTAAAATTGAGCGCCGATGTACGGCTGCTCCTGATGCAATCATGTTAAAATTTTCAAATGTACGTGACAAATAGTGAAAAAATAATCGCCAAGGTTAAAATGTGTATCATCCCTAGACAAAGATTTAGCTCAATGCGCTAAAATCGAGCACCGATGTACGGCTGCCCCTGATGCAATCACGTTAGATTTTTCAAATGTACGTGACAAAACGCGAAATTATCAAGGTCAAATTGCACGGTACTACGGGGAATGTTTTGTAAGATGAAATCATTCTAGAATGTTAAACGATGATAAAACATGCTAGAATGTTAAACGATGATAAAAAATGCATGAGACGGTGTATAAATCATGATAGAGAGACACACCCCACCAGTAGATAAAGTACAGTCATTAGAAACGCTAAATTTCGCAAGTCTACTACAATATGGATGAGCAAATTTTGCGAGAGCAATCCGCTTTGCTTGATTCGTTGGAAGACTACATTGTGTGGGAGCAACGATGCGGTGAGTACATCGAATCGTTGGAAGAGTAAAGTCGAATCAAACGACCGCGATTATCGATCGGAAATCGACAATCGCTAATTGCTTAGATCGCGCGTCTCGAAGGGTTGAAAAATTCGGTACGTGGACGTTTCGTACACGCGGATGCCGGATGTAGTGCGCATCAAAATGGACTTGTGTGGCGCGAAATTGATACGGCGTTTGAGAGTCGCGTATCGATTGGTGCGGTGATAAACTATAATCACATCGAACCGCGCCAATTTCTCGAAGATGCCAAAGACATTGTGATAGGATAGAACATGCAGGACGTTATGAAGAAACATTATAATGTAAAAGTAAACACTATATTCAACAGTGAATTTGTGACCGGAGATAAACACGCGAATAAAAGTATTAATACTAGAAATTATGAACTCTTTCGCACATCCGATTTACGCGAGTGGTACGAACGGCGTGTTATCGAATCCACCTTAGCGTCTCTGGAAGAGTTTCAGGAACGTGATAGTGGGTGGGCTTTGTCGCGAATACTTAATTTAACTGTAAATATAAACAAGTATAATCCTTTGCGCGCGGGATGTCACATCAAATTACCGCGGGATATTATGATGAAGAGAGCGGTGATTAACGTGCAATCAAAAGACAATGCGTGTTTCGCATGGGCAGTGGTCGCCGCTCTGTATCCCACCGAAAGTCACGCAGAACGAGAATCATCATACCCGCATTAAGGTGCAATTTCACGCAGCGTCAAAACGCTAGCGGCTCTCCCCACTCTGGTCCCCTCGGTCGACGCGCACTCATCGATGCGCATAAAATTAGCCTCTCATCGTTTTGTCGCTTGAAGTTCGGAGAGGCCTAACTACAGCGAAAAGTAGACGTGTTTGAATCGTTTCAGTAGTTCCAACAATTTAAAAAAATGATATAACTTTAGGATGTAATTTTTCTACTGCTCAATTTGTGATAATATATTATATGATATATTTATATACGTTATATATTTTTGTACCTTATTTATATATAATATACTACAAAAAATAACTCAAATGTTCGTAATAATACTTCTTTATTTATGTCGGTTATTTTGCCAAGGCACCTCTCCTTCACTATAAAAGTAATCGCAAAATTCATCACGCATCTGAATGCAGTTTCGCGCACTGGTATTCGAGCCACAATGACCGATATCTCGAAAAGCGCAGCCATCTTCAATGATACTCCGCCAAGAATCTGGTGTGAAACTATTTGGATCATCGGCATGAATTTCATCTACCATACCCGCAGAAACGTATGCATTTTTGCCAATGTCGTCTTTGCGGATCCAATTATGCAGACAAACTGTCGCCTGCACCATCAATTTAGCATTTTCTGGGAAAGCAATAATTGGTTTGCTATATATTCGCCACTGGCTGGCTAAAATACCGAAAGTATTTTCGATAAGCCTTCTCGCACGATTTAACTGGTAGTTGAAAATGTTCTGTTCCGGTGTCAGTCCGTTCTTGCTTGGATAAGAGCGAAGCAAATATGATTTTAAAGGAAACGCTTCGTCTCCCATGAGATAGTATGGCAAAATTCGTCCTCCTGCAACAGCTGATGGCTTCGGTACATTCATGCGATTTGCATTGAAGTTCTTGCCGATAGCACTGTCGAAAATACCTCCATCGCTTCGTTGTCTATACGCCCCGATGTCAACGAAACGGAATACATAGTGTGCATCACAAATGGCCATCAATATAAATTGCCTTTATTTTCAATTGTGACGTCCTGCTTTACGCCTATATAAGCGTAACGGCGTATAACGCCGAGCGCCTGGTCGCACGGCAACCTAGGCATGCAAGTACGCGCGCGGTAGCGCGGGCATACAGGCGCCGATCTTCGCGCAAGTGAAATCCGGCGAGGCGCATATATAAGGCCGACCACGGCAAGCCGAATTCGAGTCTCAGCTCGAACCGACTATAGGGTCAATAACACTATACGTCAATCAGCTAGAGTACTCCTCTTTTGGAATTGGAAGGTAAAACTTCCAAAAACATTCGCCGCCAGCCGCATTCCTCGACCAACGTCGACGCCCCGATCACCCGGACCACTTCGACCGTCGTACGGTGCAGCTGCCGAGCCGAGGAGAGGAGAGTATCCTTCACCTTGTTGCCGTGGACACTGCAGCCAATCGACCTGGAGCCGCCTCGCTTCACCAGGCCACCAAGGGAGTTGCTAGCCACCTAGGACATCAGGGTACGACGATACACTTCACCACCAACATCCTGGGCAGTTCCAGCGGCTCTATCTCCTCTGCCTCCATCTCCGATCCACCGGACAACCCAGGGGACGCAGACCACCGCAGTCAGCCGGACACAGAGGAGTCCAGGTGACGCAGCCGCCGAAATCAACGGCGGACCAGGAGACCCAGTCCGATTCCGATTGGGAGACGCCCACGAGCACGGCGGCCACACAGACGGAGCCACCGAAGCGCCGCAAACCAGAGGTGGACGTCAACAATAACGTCGACAGCTCCTGGGGACCGCTCCTGTATACCAAGGCGACTCCGCGGATAACGTATCGCGAACGCGTGCAAACCAACGGCCCTTTTCAGGGCCATGTAAATAAAAGATTGTAGAATAAACTGTACATATATACCCATACTGTGAGTAACTGATTTAAGCGGAAATCTCGTCAACCTTGCGGCCAGTAGAGCATACTCTTCCGACTAAGATTGAACGAACATGCAACCAAACGACGCCATACAATTAATGTTCCCCGGGGACAAACCCCCCGGAGTGCAGGTACAAGAGTTACGGCAACTAAGCCGCGCGCAAAATTCTTAAATATTTTATAGGCGGAGGACAATCGCCCCCCCCCTCCCGCCAATGAGCCGAGCAACAACGCGCGCGGTGGGAGGAAAAAACTTCTCCCCTATCAGGTACATTTTGATAATAGTATTGCCACGGCTGATTGGCCGAGGCAATTTACTTCTAAGAATATTGCTCTCACCCCCGGGCCAAACGCAAGCAGTAATAGTTATAAGAATTAAAAAAGACCCAGGGGCGAGCACGCAGCAAAAAAGAATTAATAATAATAAAAATAAATTCAAATAATTTTTTCGCGGCATTCATACTCGACTAAAATACAATAATGGTTTCGCGGCATTCACACTCGATAACAAAGAGGCCCACACAACATGCAATAAACATTAAAAATGGTCAAAAAATAAAAAGATGTACAAAAGTTAAAAACTGTGGGCAAGACAACAACTAACTAATAAATTACGTGGCATTTACACACGACAACAAAGAAGACTTTTATAACATCACGATGGACGCTAGTGCCGCTCCTACTCGGTGGATCCGCGCCGGCGAATTGCGCGAGGGGGCGTAGCGAGCGCCTCAACAGAGGGGCGTGAAGGGGCGGCGTACGCCAGACACATGCTCCACATAAATGTCTCTGGACCAGCGAATGGAATCCGAGACAACGAGACGGCAACAAAGAAGCGTATGCACTGCCAATGTGCAACACCCGAAGCACCGCCTCGTTGGTCGGATCCCACGAGCCCAAGGAACCGACGACGAAGGCCGTCACGACGCGGTACCCTTTGCGCTGGAGCGCCTCTGCTAGGGACGAGTATTTGGCAATTTTCCTCGCCCTAGCCTCCTCGAACGACTGCCAAAGATTTTCAAAGGGCACCGTGACGTCGCATATGACGACGCACTTGGAGGGCTCGTGCCTGACCACAAGGTCAGGTCGTAGCTCCCCAGGTTCCCCGTCGATTCCCTCAATTCGCCGGTTCACTCGCTTATCCCCCCGGCATCCGGCAAGCCTTCCAGAGGCTGTGCAAGGCGACGTCGTGCCTCAGCAGAATGGACCCCACAATAATTTAGTACATGGGGAAGGGTCTCGGCTGCCAACCCGCAACTCCGAGTTTCGGTCTGCCTCCCCCCAACGGCATGCACCGTTGAGAGGGAAGACATCAAGTTTGACTCGGTGTATGAATCGCCAGTCGGCGAAGCGAGTGAAGCTGCCGCCGCAGACGAAGTGATTGCTCACCCCAGTCCGCGACGGCACCTCGAACACCTTCCCCTGGTCCGGTTTAGATGTTAAGGTGTGATAGTAATATGCCGCCACCGCTGAGCGCAGACGGGTCACCACCTGGTTGCGAGCACCAGGTGGGACTTTTACCGCGTCGCCCCTGGGACCCCGGCACTCGACCATCAGCTCCTCGGTCGCTTCACACCACCGCCACCGAAGGGACAACCTTTCGGACTGCCTCCTCGCGGCATCCCTCGCCCTCGATCACAGGGAGGATTCACCCCCGCCTCGCAGCCTCCCCTCGAGCGAGCCCGAGAGGAAAGCTGCGATGTCCTCGTTGGTCGGAGATTTCTGACCGTGTCGGAACCAGCCGTAAGCATACGGAAGGCGTGCGACACGGACAGGATATCCGCGAGGTCAGCTAGTAGTCCACAACCCCCAACTCTCGGGGGGAGGTAGACCACGTCCGCGCTGGCTCTCTGCGGGAAGTTGAGCCAGGACTTGGCCATCCGTCGGACCTGCAAGTCGGCGGCCTTTAGGGGCTTCTTCCCCACCGTGGCCCCCCGCAGCAGAAAATCCAACTGTGGCAGGATGTTGGTTGCCACTACTTCCAGTTTCTGCCACGGAGCGAGGAGGGATTGGTCCACCGCTCGGAGATCCTCAAGGAGGCCCCCGATTGTGGCGAATGATGTTTGGTCGACCGAGGACCCGGTCGGGACACCCAGATGTCTGTAAGACTCCCCAGATGACAGACAATGAACGGGCTGCCCCTGGATGACGAACGTCGTCGGCAGGACCCTGCCGCCAGAACCTGCAGCGAGATGCAGGGTAACACATTTGGCAGGGTTGAACCGCAACTACACCGACGACGCCGCGCCCTCCGCGACGGCCGGAAGCCGTCGCATTCCCTCAGGCGAATCTGCGACGAGTGCAATGTCGTCCGCGTACGCCACATCGCCACTCGCTGTGGCGAGAGCCCAACAGATCAAACCCCGCATCGACCGCGGTAACTGCACGCAGTACCGAGTCGATAGCGAGGTCGAATACTACGGGCTCAGCGGACAACCTTGCCGCACACCCGAGCGAATAGGGACAGGAGTGGTGTAGCCCTCGGCGGTTTGGACCCGCGTGGAGCACCCGTCATATATAGAATTCGACACATTGACGAGGCCCCCCGGCACGCTGGAGCGAGCGAGAGCGCGGCGAATCGCCGCGTGCGGGACCAACCCAAACGCATTGGATAGATCCAGCCACGCGACGACCGCCTGCCGTCGAGTCCGCCGGGCATCAGTCAGGATCTCCTGTAAAACGAAGTTGTGTTCGAAACACCTCTCGTCCCGCAGGAATCCCTTCTGATCCGGACAGAACTTGTTGTTGGTGACCGCCCATTCGGTCATACGATGAGCGCGGCAAAAAGCTTGAGGGCGGTGCCTCCCAGCGCGAGATGGCTTCTCCAAAGAATCGCGGTCCCCTTTCTTATACACCAATACGGTGTTGGAGGTCTTCCAAGACGCGGGGACTGCCTCGAGCCGATAGCACGCGTTAAACAGCGCGATGAGGAGCCGCGCCCCCGGATCCGCTCTACGGAGGTCACGGTAAGTGATACCGTCGGGACCCGGCGCAGAGTTCGTCATACGCCGGAGCCGACGGTCCACTTCTCGCTCCGTGAAGGGATCCATGAGGTACGCAAACTCCCCCCCATTGACCGAGGGGTCAGTGCGCTCCCCCTCCGCGCCGGAACCGTCCAGGTCTTCCCCTCCGCGATACAGTCGCTCGAAGTACGCATGAACCCGATCCTTCGGCACTTGGCAGAATTCTGCGGGCCCCTGCAGCACTTCTCGGACCGCCTTGCGTCGGTTCGTCCTATACAGCGCCTGCAAACGCGTGGCTTCACGCACCCAGCCACCGCGTCCTTCTCCCGACTGCGGAGGGCCAGCCGGTGCCGACCCTCTTCCCCCCTTACACTGCCGCCGTCCCGCACCGACATCCCTCCCTCGCCGCGCCGCACTCCCGCCTCACGTGACCGAACCGGACCGTTGCGGACGCCAGACGCATCCCTGTCGATTCTCCCCGATGCCTCCTCCCCTAAGAAAGCCCCGACCAAAGCCGCAAATTCCTCCAGGTCCGCAATCGAAGTGACGGCCTCGGCACGCCCAACCAGCACATCGCGTCCAGCCACGCGCCAGTCTGCGTAGTCTCGCGACTGCCGCAGGGGCAGACCGGCCACCGGATGGCTGGGCAGACGGGCCGGCGACACGCCGCGGGCCTCGGGGGTGCTCCTCGCCTCTGTTGCTCCTCGAACCCGCCGGTGTCTCCCTGCTTGCTCCGACGCCGCCGATTACGCGTCCTCCTCGCCGACGACCCATCATCCCAGAGACACTTACCGGAGCACTCGGATGGCCGACGCTTCCTGGTCCTCCAGGTCGCTCAGCACGCCCTCCCGGTGCTCCCTCCACACTGGTCCTCTGAGGTGGGATGCCCGCTCCAACCTCTGCAATAGCGCGAACTAAAGTCCGCTGAACTTGGTCCGAACACGGTCTGAATAGTGAATTTAAATTCATCGGCGCTTGCAGCGGGGAAGGGCCGGACACCGGGCCCCGTCCCGCGGCCGCCGGACTCCTGCCGCCGGAGGAGCCACCGCCCAGCCGCCGCCTCGCCCTTCTCACCAGGCGCACTCTCCACGGCTCATCCTCCTCTCCGCTGTCCCCCTCCGAACTCCTCTGCGCTACCTGCCGCCGCTCCTCCTCCCCGGGTGGTGTGGGGGTCCTCTCCTCTCGACACATCCGCTGCTCAACCAGACACGGTGACACCTCCGCGATGGTGGGGAGGTGGGGGGGACGGGGCGGCGTGTCCCGTCTCCCCGTGGGGAACCCCGTGGACATCACGGGGGACCCACACGAGACTGTCGTCACCGTGTTGGTCGTCAGTGTGGCAGGCGCTGACGATACCGCGGGCATCGCTGGTCGTGTTGGTGGCGACCTCTGGCCCCCCATGGGATCGCCGCGGATGTTCTGCGGCGGGGTGGGGGTGCGTCCTGTGGGGGGCGTGGCCCCCCCCTCCTTCTGTCGCCCGCGGTGTCAGCGCTCAGGTCGCGCATCGCGGTGCCGGCTTTGCAGGTGGTGGATGCCAGCTGGGCCCCTGGGTTCCTCTTCTTCTCCGATGTTCTTCGGGGCCCCCGCGATGCACTTTTGGCCGATGGTCTGACCTGTATCTTCGCCTCCGTTGCGCACTTCGCGGCCGATGCGCTCGCCGCCCGAGACTGGTTCCTGGTTCTGGGCCCCGCCCGGGTGGTGTTTGGCGGGGTCCTCTCGGGTGACCTCCTCCTTGTTCCTCCTCTCGCCGAACGTGGGTGTGTCGTCGGCGGACTCCGGTGATGGGAGGGGGGGCCCATGCATCGGCCTGGACGCGCCGCTCTTCTCGAGAGACACGCTGCTGGACCTTCGTCTCCTGGGATGATACGTGGACTCCGCCGAGCTGGTGGTGGTTGGCGGGGCCACGGAGGTCCTCCAGGATGTCCTATTCGCTTCGCCAGATGGCATGCGAGGCGATCCGCGTGCTTCTCTTGACGCGGGAGGCGAGCTCTTCTGATTGGCTGCGCCGCGCTTCAATGTAAGCCTGCCTTTATGTTGCGGATGCGCCTTAAGGCCTGTAGTTGCGGCGGCCGGTGCGCGGCCGTGGCGCTCCTCAAGATGGCGGCCGTGCCACCTGTCACCGCTGTTTCCGCTACTGGTGATGTTGCTGCTGCTGTTGTGACGGCCACCGACGGCGATGACCTGCACGTCGACGGCCCCGGTGCTACAGTGACGCGTACGAGGGGGACGTCCTCGCCGGTGGTATGGCAGATGTGGATGCTGTTGTTGCAGGTGGTTTTGTCCTGTGTTGTCCGCCGCGAAGCGCAACCTGGGTTGCCGCGAGTCGGACGGGCGGCCCCGCGATGACGCCCCGGCGGACGCCGACGACCTCGGGGCGGAACCCGCCGCCGGCCGGTCCCGTGCATTTGTAGACCCACCGGAAACATTTGTATTGTTATTGGAGTTATTCGCTTCGTCCGTGCTGCGACCCGCTCGGCCCCGGGGAATCACGTGTTCTTTCTCGAAGTGTACCTTGACAGGCCTTACGCGGTAGATCCCTTACCCGCGGAAATTGCACTCGGAACATTTGTATGTAATAGTATCCCCGGGGTGTTTAGCTTTGAGGTGTTTTGCTAAGTGGGGTGGGTCGCAGAAGTTGCCCCGTGACTTTATCTTCGGGTTCTCACTCAACCAACAGCGGAGGCATTGCACCCTCGCTGGGAACGGGTATGGGAGGACTACCACCTTTGGAGACGCGGGCATTATTATAATTTAATTCTAATTTATTATTTAGCGACTCAATGCCTTTTAACAACAAATAAAAATAAAATAGTGGGTGGGTCGCGCGGACAGCGCGCGCGGGGCGCGAGGGCAGCGCGCAGCGGGCGGACCCGCGAGCAGTGGGTCTCGGGCGGAACCCGGGGCACACCGCCGTCACGCACTGCACCCTCGCACCGTACGCTCACCGCAGCACCACGCACTGTGCATAACTATTCTGTCACGGAACGACATGCACCTAACCTCACTACACGGATCCGAGCACTCCACGCGTTAGCGGCACTGGAATACGCGTAAACGAGGACACCACTTCCCGGTGGAACACTCCCGCATAAATATCACACTACACGACCGATTGCACTCCGGCTCGCTTTTTTATTCGATACAATCTAAGGAAAATCTCGTCCCGATCACCCCGTATAACGGACAGCCTGCATAAATATTACTTTATTACTTTATTACTTTATTATTTTATTACTTTACTTTATTACTTTTTTATTCGATATATATAAATATTACACTTAAGTGTGAGTCCAAGAAGCAGATTTCGGATATTCATTGTAAGTCAGCCGCTCCTCGGGCGATCGGGACGAGATTTAAACGATAGTACCGGAACAAATTCGGTACATTTATGCGGTTTGCATTGAAGTTCTTGCCGATAGCACTGTCGCCGAAAATACCTCCATCGCTTCGTCATCCCTGTCACGTACGCCCCGATGTCAACGAAACGGAATACATAGTGTGCATCACAAATGGCCATCAATACTACACTATGAGCATGCTTGTAGTTGTAGTACGTGGAACCAGCATTGGGACACTGGAACAAAATTAGCCAGTCATTATTTTGAAGACTGAAAATATAGTTCACCGATAACTGGTACGGTATTGTGTGTCAGGCTATTAATACTATGAATACATACTTGAATTGTTACATGTTTTCCATCAATGGCACCAATGCAGTGAATGAAATTGGACAATTCTTCAAAGTCATTTGCAATTTCGAGCCAGTTTCTTTCCGACAATGCTGACGATAAAACCAAAGGACACAAATTGCTCCAAATTGCTTCGCATGTCTCTCGAATAATATTACATACTGTTGTTACCCCAACTAGATACTGGTATGACATTGATGTCATTGAATCACCAGAAGCAAGATACCTAGAACATTGCAGGGATACGAAGATATACAATATTTAAGCAATACCAAAGCAGTGAACAACAGTTTCGTGTATAAAATTTGCAGTAATTTAAACGTTTACAAACCTCAATGTTATTACCAAACGTTCTTTCGGTTGTATGGGCTCTCGAATAACATTTTCTTTTACCAATAGTGGACCAACAATCAACAACAATTCCTCCAATTGTGTTGCGGACATTCGGAAATAATTGTGGAATCGTACTCCATCCTCTATGGTCAGTTTAGGAATCGACACATAGTAAAAACTGTGCTCTGGACGATCCTTTAGATACGGTGCCACCCAGTATTGCTTCTTCCTGTACGGTCTCTTCTCATTTTCTTGCAATTTTCGCATAATTGCACACAACACCAGTATTCGTCGTTTCCTAACCTCTTTAGCTATTATTGACGGCAATGTATTTCGCAATGTTGCCGACAAAATACTGTTCGGGGAGTTTAAACGCACTTCGACAGACATCCTTAATTTCATCAGTTTCATACACGAATTAAATCTATAGAAAAAACGATTTAAAAAATAAGAATACAAATCCACAACGATTAGCGATTTGTCGCTCCATGAAAAAGTAGCGGGAGTTTAGCGGCTGGCGTTTTGTCGACGGCTTTCTTTCTCCTCATTATTTAGGGGAAATGTACTACAGAGTGGGGGTAGCCGCTCAACTGTATCTAGCGCTTTGACGCTGCGTGAAATTGCACCTTTACACAACAGTGCTGAATCTCCGAGACATTGAGTTTCCAGTGACTGTGAATCAAATTAAGAAATTTGAACATACAAATGACATTTCAATCAATGTGTACAGCATTGAAGACAAGAACAGCATTGTCCCGATATGTCTTTCGCAACAGAAGCGGGACAAGCATGTCAACTTGTTGTACATTGAAGACGACAACAGCGTGGGACACTTCGCTTGGATCAAGAATTTATCCAGGCTCGTGAGCACGCAATTGAGCAAACACAATGGTCAAAGATATATCTGCGATCGGTAAGTTTAATTTATATTATTTGAATAATTATAGGTTATACACTTTGTTACATAAATCTTAATTAAAATTTTTTTCTTTTACAGATGCTTGCACTATTTTAATTCGGACGACAAGTTTTAGTCGCATACGGTCGACTGCGGAACCCCAAACGATTCCGCTGTCCGATTGCCGAGCGACAAGGACAAGTGGCTATCGTTCAACAACTACAACAGAAAAGAGCGGCTTCCATTCATCATGTACGCCGACCTGGAATGTGTTCTGGCCAAGATGGAAGAAGAAAAATTATATCAACACCATCGGGTATTTAGTTTAGCTTGTTATGTACATTGCTCATACAATGAATCGTTATCAGCGTATCATTCGCGTCGTAGCGTTGATTGTATAACATGATTCGTCGCAGACCTCAAAAATTTGGCGTTACGTATAAAAAATATTTTAAAAACAAATGTCCCCATAGTAAATTTAACGTCCGAAGAGTGGGAGAAATTCCGTAGCGCCACTCAATGTCATATATGCGAAAAGCCGTTCGCGCAAGACGATATACGCGTTCGCGATCATTGCCATCTGACCGGGCGGTACAGAGGTCCAGCACACTCAAATTGTAATCTAAATTATAAAGAATCTTTTTGTATTCCGATAGTTTTTCATAATTTATCCGGTTATGACTCACACTTTAATATCGAGGAAATAGCCACAGCGTTCGAAGGGAAAATCGAGTTATTATCGATAACGAAAGAGAAATATATATCATTTACCAAAAATGTTGATCAAAGAAGAATAAAAAAATCAAGTAAAATTACGTTTCCATCGATTCCTTTAAATTTCTCGCATCGAGTCTCGACAAATTGGCATCATTTTTAGATAAAGACAAGCTCAAAATTTTAAAATCGGAATTTCAAAATTTATCTACAGAACATTTCAATTTGTTAACGCGAAAAGATGTATTTCCGTACGAATACATCGATTCCATTGATAGGTTGCAAGATACGTGTTTACCATCGCGCGAATAATTTTACAGTTCCTTGACCGGTGAAACTGTATCCGAGAGCGATTACGCGCATGCCGAGAATTTGGACGCGATTCTCCATTCGGACGCTAGGCGAATATAGTGACTTGTACCTCAAAATCGATGTTTTGTTATTAGCCGACATTTTCGAAAACTTTCGAGATAAATGTATCGAAAGTTACGGACTCGATCCCACGTATTACTATACTCTCCCCGGATACACGTAGGATGCCATGTTGAAGCATACAAAGATCACGTTCGAGCTACTTACAGACATCGACATGGTTATGTTCATTGAACGTGGTATACGCGGCGGTCTGAGTCAATGTTCAGGTAGATACGATCGCGCTAATAACAAGTACATAGAGTCGTACGATCCATCGAAATCATCATCATACTTGATGTACTTTGATATAAATAATTTGTACGGATGGGCAATGTGTCAACCATTGCCCTATGCCGATTTTCGATGAGTCGACGACGTGTCCAATTTTGACGTATCATCCGCGCTAGATTCGCCTATATCTTCGAAGTAGACCTCGAGTACCCGCAACATTTTCACGATGCACACACTGACCTACCGTTTTGCCCGACACGCGACAAACCACCTGGCAAGCGAGAATTCAAGCTGCTTGCAACGTTATACGATAAGAAGCGTTACGTGATACACTACCGCAACCTGCAGCAGTGTATGCGTTACGGTCTTCGTGTAACAAAAATATATCGAATTTTACAACCTCCATGGCTTCAAAATTACATAGAATTAAATACACATTTCAGAACATTAGCTAAAAATGATTTCGAAAAAAATTTATACAAATTAATGAACAATGCGGTATTTGGCAAAACGATGGAAAATGTGCGCAATATATATCGTGTCGATGTAAAATTATTAACAAAGTGGGACGGTCGGTACGGCGCAGAGGCGATGATCGCGAAACCAAATTTTCACAGCAGAAGCGTTTTTTCGGAAAACTTAATCGCTGTGGAATTGCGTAAACTCGAGGTGAAATTCTACAAACTGATTTATGTGGGTATGTGCATCCTCGACATATCCAAGACATGTTTGTGAATAAATTTCATCACGAGTATATGACGCCAATGTATCGCGACAAATGCCGGGTAATGTACACCGATACGGACAGTCTCATATATCACATCGAGTGCGCGGATGTGTATGAGAATATGAAGCGCGACATCGCTAGATTCGATACGAGCGATTATGCGGTGGATAATGTGTACGGTATACCGCTTGTAAATAAAAAGGTACCGGGTCTGATGAAGGACGAAAACAACGGTGCCATAATGACCGAATTCGTCGGACTCAGAGCAAAGATATACGCGTTACGAGTGAATGGGAAAAAGGACACAAAGAAAGTTAAAGGCGTCAAGAACAACGTTTTCGCGAGAACGATAACGTTCGACGATTACACGCGGTGCTTGAACGAAAAAATTGAAATGACGCAGTCGTGTATAGGATCTAAACTGCATCAAGTATACACGAGACGAAAATTGCTCTGAGTCCGTACGACGACAAGCGATATATCGTACTCGATACCACCGATACGCTAACGTGGGAACATTATCGGATACTGTTGTAAATAAATGTATATTTTGTTTATTGTATATTTTGTACATAACCATGTATATATTTTATACATTTTATATTTTTATAAATTTTATATATTTTATACGCATATTTTATATGTTTCAATAAATGTTTACAATACATTATTTTTATGTATCCAAAAGTTGTATGATTTATCCATTCCCAACCATTTCACATAAATCTCGTCACCTTTTTCTCGCAAAATTTTTTCCACGAGATATACGTCGGGATTGGCAACGCGTTGTAACTCGTATTCGTAGAATCCTCCAGCGACGAGATTTTCCTGCGAATCTTCGGGTATGAATATCGCGGGATTAGTTTTCTGCACCTCGATAATCTTAAAAACTTCGGTCGTCCAATTTGGTATGAAACCTTTTTCAAAAAGGGTCTTGTATTTGCTCACGCGTACCGAATCGCCTACTTTAAATTTTGTCGGAGCCGCAATTTTTACGTTGCTATACACCGTATTTAAAAGTTTTTCGGCGATCGCCGGAGTGACGTCGACAGGTCTCATACCGATGGTGCGATGTTTTCGCGTATTGTACTCTACAACGAGTCGAGATAGCTCGTCGATCCATTTGTAATTTCCATTCAACGTAAACATTTTCCATATATTGTTTTTTAAAGTATGATTGAATCGTTCCACGGCCGAGGCTTTCATAACGGAATATGTCGAGTAATGATTAATGTTATGTTTCTTCATGAGTTTCTGCACACTTGAGTTGTAAAATTCTTTTTCTCTGTCGATTTGAAAATTTTTCGGACATCTTTTATCGTCTCCAATAATTTTTGCGATGTATATCCGTATATCTCGCTTACTGTGTCGAGTCAGATATTGCATATCTCAGCACATTCTTTATCTCATCCATCATTATTCGCAGCGCCTGCAGGTTTGTTTCGAGCGGGATAATTTTTTGCTCAATTTCTCCCTGTCGATTTCTCAAAAGTTTATCCACGTATCGTTTGTTGACGGCGTCGGTATCGTTTCGGACATTTTGTTTCCGCTTTTACTCTTGAGCGATATGGCCTACGCATACTTGCTCAAATCGATATAACCGTGAGTATGTATTTATGACGCTTGTTGAGTCGAGAGTACGAAAGCATGTCCACCACGTCCGCCTGCCACAGATCGTCGTATCCGCGTACAATGACGCGTCTTCGTGGAAAATTTCTTCTCGCCGAAGCATGTAATTCCTCGACTAGTTGTCGCTTTTCGGAGGTGTTTTTGTTCTCTCGCACATTTGATCGAGGCATAATTAATATGCCATATTAGTATATCCGTATATCTCGCTTACTGTGTCGAGTCAGATATTGCATATCTCAGCACATTCTTTATCTCATCCATCATTATTCGCAGCGCCTGCAGGTTTGTTTCGAGCGGGATAATTTTTTG